CACCCCCCCACACCTCCCCTTTCCCTAGTTCCCCCATAATGCGCGCGACGATGTCACGCTTCGGCCTCACTGATACAATTACAGCGTGACAACAAATTACTTAATTAACAGATTTCAATCGACTAATTAGGCTACGAAAGCAATTTTGTATTCTTATTTAGAAACCCTTGAGAAGTCGAAATAGGTTCGCGATAAGCGAGATATCCCCAGCCAATCAATAACCCTGGCCCCACAAACCGTCTTGGCAAACTCATACCTCAAAAACCGACTTCCAACCCAATTCACACCAACAAGCAAACAAGACAAAAAATGGCAAAACGCAAAGCAACAGAAGCTGGTCTTTGTGGGAGTAAAGATGAGCCCAGAAGATCGAGCCGACGAACGAGCGCTGTCGTGAAGGAAGAGATAAGACCGGAGATCGATGGCGCGTCTACCCCGGCGAAGAAAGGGGCGAAGCGTGGAAAGGCAGCGGCGAAGGTTGTGGAGAAGGTAGCTTCTGAGGATGAGGGTGGTGAGAGTCCGGTTGATGATGGGAGCGAGGAGGAAAAAATGGTTGTGAAGAAGGTCAGTTTCTCTTTTGTGAAATCCTTGTTGAGATTGCCTTGTTTGGTGGATGAGATACAACCGGGGCAGGACATTGGGTTATTCATATATCTAACAGGTACTAGGCGCCTCCCAAGTCAAGTAAAGCATCTAAATCCAGCAAATCGAAACCTATCAAATCGACTACCAACGGAGCCACAGACTCCTTGACACCGTCTGGCCGCCAGTATTGGCTTATGAAAGCGGAACCAGAGTCTCGAATTGAGAAGGGTCATGATATTAAGTTCTCAATTAATGATCTGGCCGCCAAAACCGAACCAGAGCCATGGGATGGAATTCGCAATTATGCAGGTAGGTTACTGCACAAAATTCCCAAATTTCTAGGACAAGTAGAGCTAACATCACATAGCCAGAAACAATCTTCGAGCAATGAAGAAGGGCGACCAAGCTTTCTTTTACCATTCCAGCTGTAAGGTGCCTGCTATAGTTGGAACCATGGACATTGTGGAAGAACATACCCCGGACTGTAAGTTTCCTAATACATGTAATAGAGTAGTTGTAAATTCTAATTTCGTATTTAGTGTCTGCTCATGACTCATCAAAACCATACTACGATCCAAATTCCAAGCCTGATGATCCGAAGTGGTCCGTTGTTCACGTCATGTTCCGTCAAAAACTCAAGACTCCAATCACCCTGAAGGAGCTCAAGGAGTGGCAAACGCAAAAGGGTCATTCGCTCGAGAACATGCAAATGCTGAAGTTGGCGAGAATGAGTGTTAGTAAAGTTAGTGCGGAGGAATGGGAGTTTCTTGTTGGGGAGATGAAAAAGAGGGGCGATGAGGTCAAGTAGGGTAGCCTGTGACCTTGTACCCTATCTGGGCGATGATGTACAGTAAGATATGTATGACTTGGTGAGTAGATTTTATACGATGACATTCTACACGTTGATGTTTTCGCGTCAAAAACAACAAGGGTTTCCGTAATGCTAGTGTACCAACTGACCTACCGTACCAAATTTCTTAAGTTGTTATTCTTTCAGTCATGTAATGCTTTTATAGGAAAATAGATTTTTGTATAAAGGAGATTTTTTATTTTATTTAAGGGGATTTATAGGGGTTTGACAAAGTTGACAAAGTTCTATCTAATAATACAGTAGGCTTTTTAAGCACAAGAAGAAGAATATGAAATGTACGAGCATAGAGAGAAGATGAGACCAAAGCAGAATAAGATACAGAGAGAACCGATTGGAATAGGTTATATTTTATCTGTCTTACTTCTTGGGGTTACCCTTCTTCTGGCCCGTGATGCGTCGAATGACACCCTTGATGAGTCGGTTGCTGCCGGCCTTCACTGCATTCGAAGCACGTCGAACGAGTGAAGGAGGCAGAGGCGTTGTTGGACCAATGGCTGGCTGGGCAAACACATGTGGCTGCTTGCAGCAAATGATCGGGCCCTTGGATTTGCTGTCTTTTGGGTACTTGGCTAGCGTAGCATTGATATGCCCGCTACCGAGAAGTTCCAGCTCAACCAAAGAACCATCGGGACATGTGCGTTCGTCTTGGACGTGGAACTCGAACGCGTTAGCAAACTTGAGGCGACGATTATTGTCAGGTCCAATCCAGAATCCAAACTGACCACCGTCAACCCGAAAGTGAAGAATATTTGGGTTGTTGGAGGTCAGTTGGTGGTACGACACACCTTCCTTGGAATACCGGCCCTCGCCGAGATGAACTCGTGAGAGGTTAGCGGGATCGAAAGAAGAAGCTCCCTCTGAACCTAGTGGCACGAAGAAGAAGTTTTCTTCAACTTTGTTCCAGGTAAAGTGGAGGTGACGACCACGTTGCGTAAAGTAGGTATTCCCATTCAGCTTGTTCTCCGCATAGGCAGAGACAGCGAGAGGGGTGCCTGGAGTAGCGTAAGAGGCCATGGCTTCTGAATTACTGACTGAGAGTAACTGTGGGTAACTGTGAGTAGCTATGTTGGCAGTGAGTAAGCGTGAGTAAGGGTGCGAGGCGAGAAGACCGTGAGGTGTGGTTTTTCTATGGAGGTAAAAATGCCACTTTTTATACTTAATCTTTAGAACTGTCTATACCTCCTCCATACCTCTATTCTTCTTCGAATTTTGTGGCGTATACCCAATTCCTTGTCTCAAAACATCCTGTTTGAAGGTTTGACTTCCATGTTCTAGAATCTAACTGCTTCTGGAATATCGTCTTTCATAAGTTGAGGGCTTGTGGGTTTATATCTGCAATTGCTTTATTGCATCACCATATCTTGACGTGTTGTTCCTGTGTAGAACCTCTATTGTCCTCCCAATACTATCATTCTCTATGTCTTGATATTTGCTTGTTCTATTGTCCTTGTCAATGTCTTGGTTCTCTCAGGTTCAAATCCATTGTGTTTTCATACGCTTGCCCCGATGTGGAGATTTCCTTTCAATTAGTTTGGCGCCAAAATAAATCATGTAAATTTTTCTTTACCTGCGGAATTTTCCTTTGAGGTTACTCGTTGAAATCATTATTGCAATGATTTGGTGTATTCACTCATACATGGAGGGTAGGGGGCTGATTGATTAACTTGTTCCCTACCTCCATAGCACAATGATTTGAAGGCTCAGCTTCGAAGGTGACTAACAAGGGTGCTATGCTTCTGGTTATGTTGAATTTCACTCTCTCTGATTTCTGCGTACTTTTGAGTTGGGTGAAACAGTATGCATTTCAATTTACTCCTATCCTTCTCGAATAGTCGAGAAGTTCTCTATCTACAATTTCGCTGTAATTCCATACCAAAGTACTAGCTCCATCAACAAAGGAACTTCCCAGCCTCTCCGCCCCCTTCCAGTACAGAAACAGATCGGAAGCTTCATTTTGTAATAGAAAAGATTATTAAGGTACCTGGGATTCCATAAAGGAGACGGTCTTGTGTCCTGGTACCAACTTGGGAAGTGGGTATGGATATTTTGTTCCAGGGGGTGTAGCGTCATTGGTAATGCCGTTGCGGGAATATTATTGGAATACTCAAAATTCTCCTCGTCATCGTCATCACTCGGCCATGAGTCGTTCGACGAGGAATCGCTTGAGATCGGGTCGGGAAACAATGTTTCAAGGTCCTCGGCTTGGTGATGAGACGATTCGGAAATGTAGACTTCGCCCCATAATGATTGGTATGAATCGTCTTGGCTATCTTGGGACTCAGCCATTCCGTAGTCGAGCGATGTTGTCTCTAACTTCTCAACCTCCACGATACGTGATAGAGTAGCTGCAGAAATAGGTGCGTCAGGTTCTTCACTGTCACTGTCGATATTCATTCCTGCGTCCCCACTCTCTTCAGTCAAGGCATGTGAAGGGTTCAGTACTGCAACATCGTCCGATATATTTGCTTCTGCTTCTGGAGGACCAGAACTCGGCTCTTCAACAATATCAGAATTAGATACAAGCGCAAGCGACTCTTTCGAACTCCAGGCTTCAGCCTTGTTTGCAACCAAGGCAGTAGCTATAGCTTTCGCCTTCTTCAGCTTGTCCGCACCGAAATCTGGCAGGTCATAAATCCATGAGCTCCCAGCGGCTCTCCTTCTCGGTAGGAGTGGTGGTCGCGCCGGAATATCATCGACATTCCATGTCTTCCATAACAGAGAACGTGGATGTGGCCATTTGATATATGGCCTCGTAGGCTGTATTGCCGGTGGTGGTGGAGGCGGGTATGCATGATACAAAGTCGTTTGTGGTTCTGTCATCAGATTTCAAGATTTCACAGATGGTTACGGAGTTGAGATTATCGTGGGGAAAGAAGGGTTGCAGGAGAAGTGGTTCTGATTTTAAGGTAAGAGGCTCATGGGGCTGTGAATAAAATACATCGTGGCTGTGAACAGTATATTGTGGCTGAATACGGGAGGTAGGTGAATGGATACAAGGATTCTTTAATTGTGAATAGGATTGTTTCAACGATTGTTCTTTGTCTGATGGGCAAGTGATTGTTATGTTCTTCATGTTATTTGAATGTTCTAGATTTGTCCTCTGTCATTCAAGCAGAATATGGACCGCACTTGCGGGAAGACTCGAATTGCATTCCTTCACAACGCTATTATCCAGCCTAGAAGAACTCGTCTTCTTGAGGTTGCCCTTCAAAATAGGCATCGTCCTCAAAATCGTCAAAATCGTCCTCAAAATCGCCCTCGGAAGAGGAATCAGAGTCAGAGCAGGCGCATTCACAGAGTCGTGTTCCGTGGTAGTTGTATGCTGGTGGAAGGTGGTAGAGGGAAGGACTCCACAAAGGAGAAGGGTTGACATACGATCCGTCCCAATCATGGGTATGGGACGCATTGACATTCCCAGATTCCTGAATGTCCTGAGGCATGCTGGAGGTTTCAGTCGAGCTAGAAACACTGCTTGATGAGATGGGTGTCGACTCATCTTGGATTTCTTCTGTCTCCTCACCCAATCCACTAGTCGCTTCTCGGGACTGTGTAAGCAAACTTTCTACAGTATCTGTGAAATTGATGTCGGTCTCGATGGCTTCTCGGAGGTTGATCAAAGCCTCTAGAGAAAGTCCTCTATCTTGAGATTCCGTCTGGATTAGTGAGAGATTATCTTCCTTAGTATTGGCGTCCTCAAAATCCAAAAATCCTGGTAGTGAAGATTCGTCATCAGCATGTGGGAAGTTTGGGTATAGACTCTCCGCTTCAGAAGCGATCTCATCTTGGCTCCACACTTTCCAGAGTTCTGATCTCATAAAGACCTTTCCGGGTATGGCACGAGGCTGGAAAGCGGGCCTTGGAATTTGCGACTGCCGTTGCGAAACGGGGAGTCTACTTGTAGTTGGAGACATTCTGTTGAAAAGTTGTTGAAAGGTTATAATAGCGATGACCAGGTATGATACAAATGGTATGAAGCTATGTATGTTGGGATAGGAAAAACTTACTATCGAGTGTAGTCTCACAATTTAAGCGGCAACTGAGAGTCATGTTATAATGTTTCGGGAAATTCTGTTTCTTTTCAATTTCTTTCAATATCAAGGAGTTAATCTAGAACTGTTCTTTGGCTTTGTCTTAGAGTGTCTTCTTTAATTTCCCCTCATTGTTAAGCGAAAGTTAAAACTTTCTCAAAGACCTTGAAAGAACTTCATACAAAGCATTATGCACCTCAATAGATCCAGAACGTCTGAAAGATTAGAGAGACATAAGATCGGGAGTTTGCACGTTACTATGCATTTCGGGTGCCACCATTGGACTTGGGCTGAGACAGCAACGACCTTGAACTCTACATTTGTGCCACCATACCCCTCATCTTGAAAGGTCGAGAAGACACTCCTATTGTCAATGGCCTGATATTTCTTTACGTTGTTGCTCCCGCATCAGTTGGTGGCGATCGATTACCACATACTCTCTTTGGCTCAGTCTCCAAACGACAACAACTACACCGTGCAGCTTTAGCCTTCAGCCGAGATCAAAAGCCACCACCGGTATAAAAGCTCCATACAATGTCGAAGAACACGTTTATCGAGATGCCCCTTGAGATCAAGAACAGAATCTTTGAGCAACTCTTGTTGTTCGAATTGCCAATAGATATGGTGATGCGCTGGGGAAAGCCTATAGGGTACGGCAGCAACGCGACTATGAGTTCCGAACTTTCGTTTCCTGTTCTCAGTCTCAACAAGCAGATAAACCTAGAGGCCTCCACCTTTCTATACCAACGGAACGAGTTCAAGTTCGCAACAGACTGTAACACATATACCATCACACCTTTCTTAAGAAACATCGGAGAGCAAAACGCGGGATTTATACACAGAATCTGTATCACTTACCCAGCTTTCGAGTGCAACGAATATTCTGGTTTCGATGAGAGCTACGGGATTGCTCTTCCAATTGGCGGAAGTTCTGCCGGTACAGTCAAGGTCGATGACATGAGCGCCCAGGCGTTTAGAGTTATCGCGTGGAGGTGCCCAAATCTAAAGTTCCTTACGATGACACGATCAGGTACCCGAGAATCGAGACATAGGGGCTCGAGTCAGTTGGATATAAAGGCCGTTTTGGCGGTGAACGAGCATTTGAAGCATTTTCCAAAAGAAACAAAGATTGTTGTTGACGTGCAGCTTGGGCCTGAAGACAGTCAGGTAAAGAGAACGATGCGCAGTTGCGGTTGGATGATCAAGTCTTGAGTATGGTACCTTTTTTGCTTTCCATACTACCGAAAGCAAAATGAACGTTTCTGATAGTCACCGCTTAGATGAATAACGTACGATGGACGAATAAGGCAGAGTGAGCATGAGGATGAAGATTTTGAAGATGGATATATTCTCTTGTATCAGAACTAGTTATCTATGAAGAGGAACATGGCTCCCTTTGAGTACTGAAGTCATACCACAATACAGACAAAGCAGAAACTCTCGTAACTCTCTTCTGTTACCATCAAGGAAGCAATGCTGATCAAGTACGAATGCAATTTTATTGACGTACACATTCGAAGCTTTCGGCAAAAGTAGAATCTCCAAAACCACGATATTTTGCCACCAGTGGGTAGATACAAAGCTTCCTGGTAAACTGTACTGGTAGCCAGTCAGGTGTCCTAGCTAGGACTATTTCCGGAGCAGTTCCATTCTCTACCCACGATCTTAAAACACCAAGAGGATCAATTGGTACAGCACCAGGAGTGCTACCATACCCACAGTGATCTACACCGGGAGCAAGAAATAAACGATAAAATTCGTTGACTTTTGCGTTGCCTCCCATAACTTTCTCCACCTTTTCACGATACCTGCTGGCATCCGTGGACGGTATCAACTGATCCGCTTCACCGTGCCAATGAAGAAGCTTCGTGCCAGATTTTTGAAGTGCGGAAAGGTGTGTTTTTGAAGAACTGATTATGTGAGAATATTTTGCAACAGATTCGGCGAATATGGCGGCAAAAGCTGTGCGATCGATGCTGGCGAGATCGAAATTGACATCCTCCTTGATAAAATCCTGAATCCAAGAAGCAACAATCGCAAATGGGTTGCCAATACGTTTTCCATCAGCCAGTGACGAGTTTGATAAAGATTCTAAAGACGTGGGAATTGTGAGCCCATCCCACAATATTTTTCCATCATTGGTAGTTGGTCCTTCCTAGATCTTTTTCACGATTGACGCGGTAGAGGGTGTGATCGTAACCTCTTTTCCATCACACTGAGCCTTCATCCCCACGGCTTTGAAGGCATCAAACGTGCATTTGGACAAGTCAGTGATGACACCATCTTCAACCCCATCGATTCTATCACACGAAGTAATGCCAGCTTTCGTCACGGCGTTGAGCTCACAAGGAGAAGGAAATATCCCCTCTTCTTTCATGACAACTTGAGGCCAAAACAATGAAGGAATAAGCTTGTCCCAGAATATCGCGGGTGCACCAGCTAATATGCCATCGTAAAGCTCCGGGTACCGCTGAGCAGCCTCCATTCCTTGACGTCCTCCAGTAGAGCAGCCATACCAATAAGAATAGTCCAGTTTCTTTCCATAGTAACTTTCTGTCACTGCCTTGCCGACAGTTGCCACATCACGTGGCGATCGAGTAGCGACATTCCTCAGTTTTTCCACATTTATGGATCCCATCGTCTTTGAAGGCCGCGATCTTCCACTGAGCATATTGTAGCCCAGGCCGCCATCTGTTGACGCAGCTGCATATCCTCGTGCAACATGTGGTGCAAGAGCAATATCACCCCCACCTGGCGCAAATCCACCTCCTCCTGCAGCGACAAAACGACCATTGTAGCCTGAAAGTGGATGCCAAACTTGGACTACAACAGTATCATTAACTCCAGGGTGTGTGAATGTGACATTTACTTCGCAAATGTTGACAATTATTTGCGCGGTACCTGCGGGTATGCCGGGTACGGAGTGGTTGTGATATTCTTGGGATGTTACTGAAAGAATCTTCCTCTCTTCAATGTGAGATGGCGGTATCCAGGAACAGTTCTGAACCGACCTTTGAGGAGTCGTGTTGCCGTAGGACACTCGAAAAAGGAGGAACGAGATGTGAAAGCAGAGTAAGGAATTCATGGTTAGCAAGACCGCACAGCGAGGGGTCTTAGTGAGATGAGTGTGAGGGTTTGTTGGTGAGGTACTAGAGTTGTGGGAAGTAAGTTCTACTTGTAGCTTTCAACGCCCCTAAAAGCTCTACCATATTTTGATATGCAAAAGGCCGGCAAAAAATCGCGATCTTATGGTAGAACATGGATCAATTTCTCTACAAACAGCCGAGTCCACCAATCTTGGGGCCCAAAGACCCACATTTGGAGCTTGGGGTTTGATTTTCTGAGTTGATGTTTTTTAACTCTCTTCTTTCGCTAATTTTGTAAAACTGCTGTATAGTACTTACTGTATCTTGGCAAGCGCGAAGCTCGAGTATTACCCAAAGTGTAGAGAAACTGTCTTTACGATCAATGCTCATCACATATTAATTTATGAGAGTATTACCCAAAGTGTAGAGAAACTGTCTTTACGATCAATGCTCATCACATATTAATTTATGAGACATTTAAATCAGCCAATATTTACCTCTTTGTCTTCACAAAACTGCGAGGCTAGCGAATGAAGTGCGGAGAACGGGCATCTGGTGTCTTACGTGAGATTCTGTACACAGTATGCTTGATTACGTCCTGTGTTACCCTGTCCCTCATCGCAACCAGGCAATCAGTTGATATGTATACTGTATTCCAGGCCTCGAGTCATGCGGTTTCGGTCTGCTGCCTACATCCGAGTAACATTGTCGGCTATTAATTTGCTAGTCTGCGGTGTAAGACGGGAGGAAGGATCTCGCTGAGTGTCTTGCTTATAAACTTTGCACTTTGGGAGGCTGGATACTTGTGTGTAACAATGGTAAGTCTCAACCTTTTAAATGCTGGCAGATCCTCCAAAACACGCAATTCTTCACCTCGAGTGGGGATTTGATATTGCGAGTGACTTAGATAGTACCGAGATATTGAGTATTAGAAACCATTGAAACTTGTATCTCTGGGTAAAACCATCCAATATTTAGGATGATGTGTTCATGTTGAATCACAGTTGACTTCCTTTCCAACTCGCAGACACTTTGTCTTTGAGCTTTTGCCTCGGAATGAAGAGATATTGAATCTGTTGTGCTGGGTCTACTTTCTCTTTTGCTCCACTTCCTGATTTGATCCACTTATAGCTCTGCTGCCTAAATGCTTCATGTCTGCCTAAACCTTACACTCTTTATATAAACACCTTAGATAGCTACCTTTTACAATGCAATCAATTCTCCATGGCTTTCAGTACCCAATACCCTTTCAACCCAATAGAATCTAAGATTCTTCGTTAGAGCTGCGGCTCCTTCGCCAATTCCTATTAGTTCCGTGTTTTTAACATCCCAGGTACTTCCAAATTTTGAACCACTTCGATATGTAAACGCTATTTGCTCAGAAGTCGCCTCCTACAAAGCTGGGCCAACAAATGCTCAGGTTGTATTTCTTCTTCATGGTTGGCCTTGCGATATTCACAGCTACACTGAAGTTGCGCCATCGCTCGCATCACTAGGTTACCCAGTGATTGTCGCATATTTTTACGGCAATGGACCGGCTTCTTTCAAAAACCTGGATTTTGTTGAGGTGGTATTGCATGTTTACAGGCATCGATTGTTGTATCCACCAGGAGATCCAGATTATGAAGAAATCGAGAAGGAGTTATTGATGCAGCCCAGAGAATTACTATTCCTCCTGCTACACTGAATGGTGTTACAGACGAAAACCTTCTAATTACAAATTCGAATCTGTCTCAGCAATAATTTGTGGGCCAGAAAAGTTCATAGAGGCATAATTTTCCCCAAAAGACCCACAGGCTTTCATTGATGCAATTATCGATGTCTCAAACTTGAGCCGGGATTTTGAGAGGCCATCGGAAGGTCCAATGCGAAAATTCAGCAGAGTGAGAGTTATAAATAAATGGCAATCTGCAATTTCGGTAACTAAGAACATTAAGCGAGATTAGAGGAAGGCTACCTTCTGCTGCATATCTTCTTGAGACAGGGTGGGTTCTAGATCAATGCTTGATCCGTGGCTAGAGTAATGATATACGTTGCCTGTTTCCAACTTTATTGATAATTTCCGGAGGTCATCGAGCCCCTTCAAAGATTTTATAGTAATTACTCGCAGAGTAAAGCGACCACTCTCATCATTCCAAATTCCTCGATCCGCAGCTCGTGATGAAACTCCCACCATCAGTTACAGGCATCTTATTCCATTTATGTTTCCACAACAGCGCGGTAGTTATCGTGTGGACTCTCCTGGATTCAAAGTTTCTTATTACTAGAATCGCTGCATTCTTATTGTGATACACGAAACCTATACTCGAAGCCTGGATTCGGGTAATGATTGTGGCCCAAATACGAACTCTCCATCCGCAGAAGCTGACTAGGCACCCTAAACAAGCATTTTTATGCCAGGGTATCTGGTAAGAAAAGACGAGAAAGTGACTGTGTCAGGACTGTAACCGTAGAAGGTAAACGACTTCAAAGAAGGGAATGTAAAATCCCATACTATGTTCCTGATTCGACAGTCTTCTAAATCGCAATTTGGGAACGACAGTGTCAACTCCTCAATAGCGGGAGAAGCATGCAAAATCTTAGATAGAAACGCCCCGTTATCACCATGCGCCCCGCTTACGTCAACGCGAAGCGTTTTAAGAACAGCGAACTTTTCTGGGGGCCCAGACTACGTCATGTTAGCCGTTCTGGTACCATAAAAAAAGAAGTCAAACTAACAATTTCTGCTATTTTGTAGAGTTCATGTTTATTGAACACCAGATTCAACTTCTCAAGGGTTCTTGAACTCCTCCATACTGCATCCCAGAACACCGGAGAGTCTCTGGCCTTGTAAAATAGGCTCTCCCAAGCAAATTCTTTCAGTCCATTTTCCGCTTGAATGGTGTCGATTATAGCACCCATCTGATGAGATATCTGGTGACTGGTTTTGGAATCCCTTTCTTCCCTTTGCGCAACTGTTAGGAAGCGTTCCTCGCCATACTTATCATCGTATTCGTTTTCGATTGCCTCATCTTCGAGAATATTGATCTTGTTTGTTTATCTGAAATTAGGAGTTGATTTGAGATCATCGATTATGTCATCTAAGCCTTTGAGGCTATATATACTGAGAGTGCGGGTAGGGAGGTGGAAGTTGTGGTTGGAGCTGGGCGGATCACTCATTTTGATAAAGCGACGAGAAAGCTACTGGCAATGCGTTTGAGGTGCCTGAATTGCAAAGGCAATCTCGGTAGGTCGGTGCGTGGGTGGCTATATATGATGGCAAAATAAGCTTACTGAGTACAAGCCAACTGTTTGTGAGATAGTGAACATGAGTCACCTGTCACGTTTTCCCTGATAACTCTCTATAACATTCAAGATCGAAACCGTTTTAAATATCAAGAATTCAGAGCATGGCACATGGCCCTCATGCATTCGACGGCAGGATTACAGTCATAGCATGAAGTGCGTCTCATCAGCGTCTTGATCTCACTCCCGCAATACGATCTATACAGCAGAAAGCTTTACATATAAAAATGACACTCGAAGATATAAGTTGAGGTCCAGGCAGTGTTTCGAGCCATCTGTTCTCCATCTCACTGCAATACCTAGATTGAGACAACAGGGAAGGAACTACCACAGCGGCCCTGTCTCTTGACCTCCCACTGACGGACAAGACACAACCTAGAGAAATTCACGACCTCAGGTCCTCAACCAGACTCCACCCACCCCCGCTCGGCCCCTCCTCGGGTTCCTTTCTACGCTAGCATCCCAGCCCTACAACATACCCACATCATTTGAAGCTCCAATTAAGCAACCAGCCATCAATCATTTGTACGCTTCCTCGGAACACGTCTATCTGGTTCGGTGGTTAAGTCCTCTGAGTCAACGGCCGTACACACTGAAATATGGTGCCTGTTAGCTCAAAACGGAAAAGCGCAGGAATGATAGCCCAATGGCAAAACTCAGTTCGTCTGGTTTACGCCGCCTGGCGGCACCTTGAAGGTGTTAGGTTTTTTTTGCGGGTTCTTTTGGTCGTTTTGGGGGGTTTCTATGGTAGGGAAGTTATATTTGTAGACGTGGGCGTGGGTGGTGATTGGTGTGCTAAGCGAGGATTAGGGGTGTTAGAGTTTGAGTCAACAGTGAATCGACTTTATATTTTAGTGGACCACGTCGCCCTTCACACAATGGGCAATTTGCTGAGACATGGACGATCACTTAGGTAGTTCGAACATTACCTGGTTTAGATATTTGGCTGGCAATAATGGCCCACCGACTAAGCTGCTAATGCTCACGGGGATCTTGTTGTTTTTGCCATGAAGGAGCTTATCTCAAAATATAAACTGCATTCGGTGCTATATAAATGGGAGTCATACGCTAAGACTGAGATATTATGTGGGTTGTTTCATAGGTAAATCGAAAAATAGGTGGAGAAAGGAACGAGCTTTAGTGATCTAGCATATCGGTCACAACTGGAACCTGTGATGGCACACGAGCTTCCTTTGCACTTTGCTGTTGGTTGAATTTGAACAGAATCAGGTTCTTGGTACTGTATCTACTCGCTCAATCTGAAGTCTAATTTCTGTGTTGTCGTGTTCCGTTTACGCTTTGTTATTATGTGGTTGAAGGTTTGAGACAAAGTATCATATCGGAGCTTGCTTTCAAGTCTCACAGAATATGCGTAAAGTTGATTTCTTAATCTTTCAAGTGGACATCAGGATTCTCAAAGTCATATTCAGAAGCTTCGCTTGCTACCCAATAAGAAAACCACAATTCGCCAACTGCACCAAAAGCAGCAGCTAAAACATCCATTTCTTCTCGCCTCACACCCCACGCAAACCATGATTCCTTCTGCAGAAAACTGTCAAAGCAGAAGCAAATTCTACTCAACAATATCCATAGCAACAAAAACCTCCCTCCACACATCCAAACTCATCTCCTCCCTCTCCAGTGTAGGGAATAGTACAGTACGTTCAGTACACAGTACAGTACAAAAATCGTAAAACTGCTCACAGTTTTGGTGTTGTTAGTTCAACTACAGTACAAAAACTAAAGAACCAACTGTACTATACTACGATAGTACTACAAAACTAGGTGTAGAATCAGTTAATATTTGAAGCTATTAATGAGTCTACATCTGATCCAGTTGTAGCAATTAAAGCTTCCACTCCCTATTTGATCCATTAATCGTCCTCGTACTCTAATTAGTTGTAATAGGAGAGTTAGTAGTATAGAGACAGTAGAGTATCACGTAAGTATATATATGCGAAACCTTACAATAATTAATAGTATAATAAGGCGAAGTTTTTAAGGGGTTAGCTACTAAGCCAATTAGAGTACAAGAAATTGTTAGATTTTACTAAAAACGGCTAGCGTATAGTAATTCACCCGAGTCTCGGAACACCCATCCCTAATTCACCCTGAAACCTACCTAAAAGAAGTATATATCTTAACATTTTAATTATATATATATAGTACAATAGTACAGTACAGTTCACTAGTTTTAGAATAATAAACTGTACTAACCAGCTAGTACAGATCTCCCTTATAAAACTATCAAAAATCCTATAAAATAAACTGTACTGTACTATATACTGCAGTAGTACGAACTGTACTGTACCTATTCCCCACACTATCCCTCTCAGCACCCCCTCAACAAACACCACAGCCCCGACCCCAGCGCCAACCTCACCAGGATCCTCTTCCTCTCAAAACCCCCCTCAAACGTAAGACCCTGAACAACCACCCTCGCCCCCATCCCCAGATCCCCAGTCTGCCTCCCATCACACACCCCAAACATCTCCTTGACGGGCCCAACAACCATTTTCATCTCCTCAATCACCTTCTCAGCCGTGACTTTATGTCCACTACTCAGGAAATTAGTGCGGAAATACCCCGGTTCGATGACGAAAACCTGGATATCGAAAGATTCCACCTCTTCGCGGGAATTTGAAGAGCCCTGCGAGTGCGAATTTGGCGGCCGAGTAGAGACCGGAGGTGATGCCGCTGTCCCAGCCGGCGTGGAGACTATGGTTGCGAGTACGCCGGTTTTTGCTTACGCATGTGTGGTAGGATAGCGCGGGTGAGGTTGAGATGGGCGAAGAGGTTTAGATTGAAGGATTTTCTTGCTTCGGCGTCACTATGTCATATTACTATAAAACTCCCAAAGAGGTGGAAAGCGGATTGTGCACCTGCTTTCTTCCAACACACTTTCAAGTACATATCCAGCATTATTAAGCACCTAAAACATCAATATTTCCAAATCTCGGACAACCTCATTGAGACTTTGATACTTTCCAACTCTGCTCCTCCGATATCGAGTGATATAGTCTAAGACCCGGGTCCGAGCTCCATGAGATCGCGGATCTTTGTGGTGTCCCAGAATGTGATGTGACGTTGTCACACCTTGCTAAAGTAGCTTTAGCGACCTCGAGACCTAGTCCAGAGCAAAGGAGCCACCGGTGATGAACTATTTGGGCATGATGGGGGTATTGTGAGAGTTCGTTACGGGGGATTGTGTGTACTTGAAGGGATGATAGTTTGTCAATGGAGAGAGGTAAGTTTGATATGATATTTCTCCCAATAATATTTATCTTGATTTATAGAACTTAATCCCCGCCTTAGCTCGACCAAGCCCCGAATGAAATCCGGCGTTATTGATCCTCTGTTTAAGACGCCTAGTGATGTTATGTTGTTTGTTATTTAGGACTTAAGAAGATATCGCTTAACCCCGATGGTCGAAATCCGACGACCTGCATATGCGATCAGCCATACGAGCATACATACCTGATTCGTCAATTCCTAGACTTGGACCTTATCTATCAACGCATCACGGTTGTGCAGCCATGTAATGCCCATCACACTTATCCAGGTTACGTACAAGGCGATATCACCAGAAATCATCCCTTCCTGTTTTGGGAAGTGCTTTCATGGATATTTAAGCGAACGTAGGTCTACTTCTTGTAGACAGTAGGGGAGGAAAACGGGGAGTTGGAGAATCGGGAAGATTTTCCTAGGGGTTCCAAGGATCTGGTTCTAGGAAAAGATTATGCATTGTTTACATTTTCGTAAAAGAACTGTTGAGTTCCTTTGTTATGATTTATACTTCGCTTAAGTCCTCGGTCGACATGTGCGCGATAAGGGTGCTAAGTGTCCACTCAATATTACAGTGGCAGTGCCTAATGAAGATGGGTGAATATACCATATATACCAAGTCCACGCTAGCAAAACACGTGTTTACATGGGGGCTGGATTAGCGTGCCCCACACAGAGGGGTAGGGCTAGCATCCTATAAACAATCTGGTCTCTTCGTTACACTCGGTCCTCGCTATCAATTTCCATCAAAAGCTGGAGTAGTCCATCTGGGCCTGGCAGAAAGCTTTCCATCAAACAACCTCTGCACATCCCACATCATGGCATCTGAATTGACTGAACAGCCTGTTTGCGCCTCTTGCAACTCCCGAGAAACCTCAAGCAAGCTCCTTCGCTGCCAAAAATGCAAGAAGGTCGCGTATTGCAGTGAGTTCTTTCACCCATCTTAAGTTTGTATGTGCTAAAGTCAATGTAGATAAGACATGTCAGTTGTCAGATTGGCCCTCCCATAAACCTTCATGCAAAGCCCCTAATTACATCCTCAAAATCCACCTCTGCCCATCCGACATTACCTCTCCTCCCGTGTTCCGCACTTTATCCTGTCCCGCCGCTGCGACATTCAAGAACCTTCACTACGCAATCCAGATTGCTTTCGGTTGGGCCAATATACACACCTATGATTTCAAAATCCAAGACCCCAACGCCGAACCCGAGGCAGAACTCAGCCTGATGGAGTTCGTCCGACGTAAGACTCAACAACTGGTCGTCACTAATAAGCACAGAGCAGCACTCGAGGAGCTACCACGCCAGAACTTCCTCCGCATCATCCAGGATACACCCCGAGGTCATGGCTTTGGCGTGTTGGGCGGCCCAGTAGATATGATGCACAACCAGGATCGAATGCACAGCCAAACGCCCGAGGTTCTCAGTTCATCAATCAGGCTATGCCAAGTCTTTGAGAATAAGGAATACGGAGCTGGCGAGATCCAAGTCGAGTACGAATATGATTTCGGCGACGGCTGGAAGCATGAGATCCGGATTATTGGCCGACGAGATGTGGGACCTTTTCAAGTCCTAGACGGTGAGGCTCATGGAGTTGCGGAAGACGTGGGAGGTGCGAGTGCGTGGGAGGAGTTGAAGGGAGCCTATCGTGCTGCGAATCCGAATAAGAAGCAGAAGGAAAAGATGGAGTGGTTTGAGAATCGTGCCTCGAACCGTGATCCTTGGGGTCTTGGTCATGGACTAGAAGAATACTGGGATGAAGATGAGATAAACAAAAAGTTGAGAACACGCTCGGCCTAGTGAGGGATGTTTGGGCACTGAGTTCTGGGCTTCTTAGCTAGATGTAGTCTGTAGTCTCCCGAACTCATTTTGTCCCTTGTGTGGGGTTCTCCTCAGATCTTTACTGCATGTAATTCGTGTGACTGCAAACTCTACTTCGCGCCACATGGAATAGAAAGAGCGATAAAAAGTAGAGTATTCAGAGCGAAAGTCTTGCTTTGGAGGGCATCAGAAATCCCCGAAGTTCTTGATTTTCCTGTGGAGTTGATTGAAATGGTCAAAGAAAAGAACGTTACAAGTATCAAGAGGAGCTTAATAAATAGGAACCATGACGCGCTTAATAACATTTTAAGGATGATTGTAGAAGAGAGTAAACACTCCCTTATATTAGGAAATATACTTATCAATTAATAAATTGTGGAACACACTATTCAAAACTCATAACTAACAACCAATCCACAATCCATACTCTTTACTTTCTATATAAAGTAGCTAAGGTTAAATTTAATACTAGAGTATACTTTACTAATAGTACCTACCAGCTAGCCCTTCGAACTCTCGCTACCTCTTCTTGTCAGTTCATTAACTTGACCAGTGGTTTTCACCACATAGGACCTGCATGCCTGGAATGCGACAGGAGTATATAATAAGTAAGAGTAAGAATCTCTCTCTCACCGAGGATTTGTATGTCCCACAGTCCCTGGTCTTGCGTGATACTAAAAGGACCATGGCAGGAATATGTGTTTAGACGGGTACATAGGTATACACATCAACGAACTTTGGTGTCGAAGAGAGTGAGTGGATGACCCGAGAAGTAGTCTAGTGATATACAATCATCTTGTCCATTTAAACGTAATTGAGAATATTACCAAACATCTAGCTCCAATAATGACAGCTTTTAATCTTATCAAAATAATAAAGAATGTTCTCGAGCTAGAAGAAAAGTTCCTCACAAAAACTATAAGTATTTAGATTGTTAACCGCCCATGGATATTCTCCGTTCGAGTACGAGTACCCCTCACCCAAAGCCCCCCCACTAGAAAGTAGGTAGGGCAGGGATGGCGATGGGAGAGTTCTAGAATGATCTTCAGATTCTCCGGACTTGCATGAACTCAACCACGAGCGCGGAGAAATTTTTGCTTGGGAAAAAGTAAACATGAACAACGAGGTATTCTTGGACTGAGCACACGATGTTCAGCCATGCTGTAGACGAACGAGGATGGTGGAAAAAGAGTGCGATATCGCTGAATTTCGTACAAAGGAATCTTGACTATACTCGATAGTGACAGTTGACAGAGTTAGAATCAGATGAGCGCAACAAGGAAGTTCATCATAAGTAGGTAGGTAAGGAGGGGGTGTATCACGTGTGAAGCCTGGCAGTGACGTCAAGGCCGGCAAAAATCCACAGAGTCCGAATTCGGCCCGTTCATGATGGACCCCGCCATCGCCTTCGTAACTGCCCCTCACGTGGAAAGACGTCAAGTTCTTGTATGAAGGCCTCACCCGCTCCCGCCCGGGTGTTCTTTGTTGAGCACCCGACATGACCAACAATTGGTAAGAGACAGTTACAACTTACCAAGTCCTTTGAAATGGCCAGAAGATGGCGGATTCGAAATACACATAATCATCAACTAAGCATCACTTAAGCCACAGCTAGCGCAGGTGGATGTAACGGCCAATGCTCGCAACGCATTATCTCCTGGATTTTGTATGCAAGAGGGTCAAGTAATCAAATCCACCGGGCCCGATGATACTGTGTCTACAGTAAATGATTGGAGACCTTGACAGCATCACTTCACCAACTGACACCAGCTTTTTCCTCTTGCCAGCCTGCAGGCAGCTTCCCATCCCAACAACCCCACCCCAAGCAGGAGGCAATCCACTCGTGGGCGCTCTTTCCTGCAGGGTTGGCCATTCCCATCCAAAAGTATCTGGACTCGCCGGGCAATCAAAGGCAAGGCAGGCGCAGGCGCAGGCGCAGGCGCAGGAAGCAGCCGCCCCCACCATGATCTCACAAGGGTGATGGGTACGAGTATGGGTACCAGTATGGGTACAGCTTATGCACAGTTGTACCAAGTCGGAGCATGTACGGACAGCATTGAGACACCTGGAAGGGAAAGAGGGGGGGAGAGGGGGAGGAGGGGTAGCTATCTTGCTCTTGCCTCAACAACGCCTCACCCACCTCTTGCTCGTCTGAACTCTCACAGCAGCGACTACTTAATCCTCCCCTCCCGCCCTTCTCTCTTCTCTTCCTCCATCCACTTGACAACCTCAACTTCCTCCAACAACAAAGTCAATTGACCCCCTCCAAACTACTTCCATCCCCTCCACAACACCACAACCCCTTCTACACATTACCTCATACCCACCGTCATCATGCCTATCTCAATCCCCAAGACCGAGTCTCTCCTCGACATGTTCAGCCTCAAGGGCAAGGTCGTCGTCGTGACCGGTGCCTCCGGCCCAAGAGGTATGGGAATTGAAGCTGCACGAGGATGTGCTGAGATGGGTGCCGACCTTGCCATCACATACGCATCTCGACCAGAGGGTGGACAAAAGAACGCCAAGGAGCTCGCCGAGAAGTACGGTGTCAAAGTCAAGGCCTACAAGTGCGATGTTGGAGACTATGCCAGCGTCGAGAAGCTCGTCAAGGATGTGATTGCTGAGTTTGGAAAGATTGACGGATTCGTCGCCAATGCTGGTCGTACTGCCGACAGCGGCGTCCTCGAGGGATCGGTCGAGGCCTGGAACGAGGTCATCCAAACCGACTTGAACGGAACCTTCCACTGTGCAAAGGCTGTCGGTGCTCACTTCAAGGAGCGAGGAACTGGTTCCCTTGTTATTACTGCCTCAATGTCTGGACACATTGCCAACTTCCCTCAAGAGCAGACCAGTTACAATGTTGCAAAGGCCGGATGTATCCACATGGCCCGATCTCTGGCTAACGAGTGGCGTGACTTTGCCCGTGTCAACACCATTTCCCCAGGTTACATTGACACTGGTCTCAGTGACTTCGTCGCCCAGGAGACTCAGGATTTGTGGAAGAGCATGATTCCAATGGGACGAAATGGTGATGCCAAGGAGTTGAAGGGCGCCTACGTCTACCTCATCAGTGACGCTTCCACCTACACCAGTAAGTTTGATCTCATTTCCTGTCCTTCTCGAAAACTTGCTAACATTGCATTCTTCCAGCCGGTGCTGATCTCTTGATTGACGGTGGTTACTGCGCTCGTTGAACAATTCATCTTGATGTACAATAGTTAGAAATTTTTGGGAGTTGACGGTTGATGATTGACGATGGACCACCTGGACCACATTTGTTGTAGCTTTTAATCAGAGCTGACCCACATGGAGAAAAATAATGAAATATCATTTTGCCTGCTGTTTTTTTTCCTTCCTCCAGATTATCGTTGTGAACGTCGCTCTTCTGTTGCTCATCGCCTTATATCTTGATCATGATTCATCAGCCATCTCCAAGTGCCATACCCAGTCAACATTGCCTAATTGGGAGGACCGAATATGAAGACAGCATATGGCTTTTGTGAATGCTGACCATTGTCTGCTCTGATTGAGCGGTAACAAAAGCCAACACTTCGGCAAAAAAAAAAAGATACAAGGCAGAAATTCAACGACTGGCTCACTAGATGGAAGGTCAAAAGGGCACCCCTAGAAGTCCAACGCACAGGAAAGAAATGAAAAAGTTCGCTAGCGGTTCATTTCTGAATTGGAATTCATCGGATATACCTCTAGTCTCCTAGCTCACCCATTTCATTTCGTTTCATTTCCTAATCATTCATTCCTTTTGGTCGAATACCATACCCCTTAACACAATGTGTTTCCATCTTCCCACCTCTTCACCTTTCAATCCACTAGGCTACCCAGGTAGACTCTCCTGTCCATCTACCCATCTACTACTCCATTATTCTTGCTTTCACAGCCAGAATCGACAGATATAGCACCATGTTACGAGATCCCCAGACTTGCAATCTCACCTTGCTCATTAACTACCTGGGGTCCGAGTTTATAACTCGCTTTCCAACGGAGTTTCACGCTGTCGCCTTGGCCGGGCTCGACGCCGTGGAGGAAGATCTGTTGCGAGATGCCGGATTGCTCGTGTGCGTTGAGGCGGCGGCCGGATTGGGGCTGCAGTTTGAGGGTGTAGCTCTGTGGGGGGAAGGGTTGTTAGTTTTGGGGGTTTGGATAGAGTGGAGAGAAGGGAAGAGGGGGTGTATGTACGTACCTTGGTGACGGCAGCCATGAATGTAAGTTCTGTGATGGCTTGGTCGCTTCGATTGGAGAAGGAGATGGACATGGTGATGATTGATGGGGATTGTGCTTTTCGGGAAGCATACAGCGAGATCCCGAGATTGGTATTGCTCACTTCCAGAGTGTTGGAGGTTGGTAGACCTTCTGGTAAGGCGGAGGAGAATGCCCACTCGTCGTCGTCTGCTGATGGAGCGGCTGTTGCAGCTGCAGCTGGTGCTGATGCTTGGGGGTTTGCAAAATCGAACATGGAGGGTGTTGTTGGTTGTTGAGGCGTTGACGCTCGGATGGGGGAAGCTAGAGCTGCGAAGGGGTCGGATGGTGGTTGACCTGAAGGTTGTGGTCTATTTGCAGCTGCTTGTCGTTGTTGTTCAAGGAGCGAAAGGGGAGCGGGTCGAGGTGTAGTGGACTGAGAAGGGGCGCCGAATGCTGATATAGAGGTGTAATCTGGTTTAACAGGTTGATGTTGTGTAGGTGCTGGGGATCGGGTGGGAGTTGGTCCTCTTGCTGTACTGTGTTCCGAAGTTGAAGAAATCAGTGCCGGTCCGGGGATATCTATTATTTGTTAGCTTAGCATTTATTCAAGAATGTGGAAATAAGACCTACTCGTGTTGTTTCCGAACCCAAGAGAAATACCTCCTCCCTGACCGTAGTTCGTTTCGCCCATAGAAAGACCAAGTAGATCATCTTCAAGCCCCCCAGGTTGTGATTGAGTAGCTGCTGGTGCGGACGCTGTCGCAGAACTGCTTCCATTCGTATCGTTCATATCGCCCCCAAAGTCAATCAATGACAACTCATTATCAGCGTTTTTGCTAACACCTGTACTGGTTCCAAGTGTCCCTGCTGCGATCTTGGCCGCAGATTCCACATCTCCTTTCTTCATCAACTTGTACCTTTCCACTGTCCGATGTATACTATCGTTGATCTCGAGTAACTTTGCTACTGCTTCGTGATCATCCGATTCTTCCTCGCACATTCGTTGGATCTTGGGGTGTGCGCTCTGAAGCGCAGAGGCCAACTCTTCGTAAACATCACCCTCTTTCATAACATCACCAGGTTGGAAACCTGCCAATCGCTCTTCCAATAATCTGGCCTTTTGCTGAACCTTCCCCACCTCCTCTGCGGCTTTTGCTCTGTAATCGGTCTTGGATCTGGTATCGTAGCCTGCCATAATTTTCATGAGTCGATTGGCTTCTTGGAGATCTTCAGGACCTCCACGTCGGATCAATTCCTGTAACTTCGCAGACTGAGCAGCCTTTTCTTCCTCTTCCATTTCTTCGGCAGATTTCAGGTTCTATACATTTATTAGACGGCTCTGGCGGTCGAGCGGGGTCACCTTACATCACTTGGGTTTAGCACCGCAGCATCTTCTCTTCTAACCTCCGGGAACACATATCCCTTATAACTGAGAAGCCTGTGCATATCCCGAATGAACCCCAAATCCTCCTTGTACCTCGAGGTCAAACATATTGTGCCCCTCCACTCTTCGATAGCCTCTAGGATCTTCAGCTGAACCCTGGTTGCTCTAATCGGCGGACGCTCAGGAAACCTCCTGACAAGCTCATTGAGAAATTCCTTGGTACTGATCTGTAGATGAAATGGGTATCCGCAATTCTTGACGCAAATGTCGAGAAGATTCAGCGCCAGCAAAGAGACGTTGGGGTTTCGATGATTGACATAATTGACGATAGCTACAGCGCCCTCTCTCGGCGCATTGCCCTTCTTCGAGTTGATCAAATCTGCGATCTCAAGATTCAGCGCCAGGTTCGGTTCGAAGTTCTCGGGACTGCAAGCTTGTTGGATATAACGCTGTAACTGCGATGGTCCCGCGTCGCCCATAACGCCAAAGCGGTCTCTAGCCGCCATTCGCGCAGATGCTGCCTCCATCTGGAGGACTCAAATAGGATATCACCACTGGTGTTTGGAAATGGCGTTCGAGAAATTACTGGTGCGAAGAGCAAGCTGTTCACAAAAGGAGGCGTAGTAGACTGGCGGGGGGGTTTTAGTCTGCGGTGATGGACAACCGGTACCGTTCCGGAGCCAAGCGAGTGGAGGATTTGAGAAATCCGATTTTGGTTTCCGCCTATCTAGGATTCCCTCAACCATTCACACAACCATTCACACAACCATATCTCTCAACACCACGAATCTTCACGATGGTTCGGCACAAGAAAGATGGCTTCTCATCGCGAGGAAAGAAATTTAATAATGGCCCACGGTCGCGAGGTCCTCCTAGGGGCAATGGCGAGGATGAAGACAACCCCGCATCGGCCTCGCGCCCCTCCTTCAAAGCAGCATGTTGGGACCTGGGTCATTGCGATCCGAAAAGATGCTCCGGGAAGAAATTAATGAAGCTCGGTCTCATGCGCGACCTTCATGTTGGGCAGAAACATTCTGGCGTCATCATCAGTCCCAATGCGAAGCAAACCATATCCCCCGCCGATCGAGAACTGATGGAGCAATACGGAGCTGCTGTGGTAGAATGTTCTTGGGCTCGCGTCAAAGAGGTTCCATGGGCAAAGATTGGAGGGAAATGTGAGAGATTATTGCCATACTTGGTTGCTGCAAACAGCGTGAATTATGGGAAGCCGTGGAGGCTGAATTGCGTCGAGGCACTGGGAGCAGCATTCTATATCTGTGGGCATGCAGATTGGGCAGAGGAGGTCCTGTCACATTTCTCATACGGCCCCGCGTTTCTCGAAATCAATTCCTCAATTTTACGGCGATATGCGGCATGTACAGATGAGGCAGACATCAAGAAATGCGAAGAGGCGTGGATGGCAAGGCTAGAAAAGGAATATACCGACAGTAGAGCAAATGGAGAAGACGGTGAGGAAACAGATATGTGGAAGGGGGGCAATACAAACCACCGCGCAGCAGCGGAGAGCTCTGATGAGGACGACGACGAAGATGGAGATGAAAATGACGATGACGACGAGGTAGATGGTATATATCTTGGCACAAGACCGAAACTAGTACCCGATGATACTACACCAGAAAAAGATCCGATGGATATAACGGACGACGAGGACGATGAAGAGGAGATGGCAGAACTGCGGCGCCGAGTTCTTGCATCGAAACCGTTCTCAAATCCGAAAGCCAGTGAGAAACCAGCTTTGGAAAAAGTCCCACGTCCAGTACCCCTCAAGGAGGATTCAGATGCTGAGACTGATTCTGATAACGGCGAAGATGACGAATTCGATAACATCATCAATGCAACACCGGTTACAGATAATATTGGCATTCAAGCTAAACAGAAGGCTAAAACATCAGAGCCAATTGCAAGTGCTGTCTTTTCTAGGACTGTTGTCGATGCTCCCAAAAAGTGGTAATACATTATGTTATTATCACAAGCTATGCTCTCTTCGAGGTGATTTACAGGACTCGACAATCTGCTGTTAGTACAATCCGGGACGCCCAAAGAATAATTCCTATGACAACAAGAATAAGGTAATTTTGCCAAAGCAGCGGCTGATTTGAGACTCGAGTGGTCTTAACTTCCTATTTTGTGGTCACGTAGTACACAAAATTTCTTCGTTTGACATTAGCTGGAACCTAACAAGTCAAAAGCCAAGTCACTGACCGCCAAAGCTGTCTTCCAGTGTTACTTATTCTTTCCAAATACTATTATATATACCGTCCTTTCCTTATCCATACTCTGCACGTTTATTCCAACACTCATTTCAACTTGAAATATCCAGGTTGTAAACTCTTGAACACACCTTTGGGATCAAACTTATGTTGGATTCTCTTCAGTCTTGCCACATTCTTGGCCCCATACCCCCCGAAAACATCTTGTTCAAGCTTGGCGTAGTTCATGTAAATGAATGAATGGTTTAAGCCTTTGGACTCAGCCAATGCTACGCTGCGGGACACGAATCTGTCAACTGTTTCGAGGACTAGTGCATCATAGACTTCATTTGTCCATCCCCAGTTTAGATTCATGACTACGAGTATTAGTAAGATTCTCAGCGAGTACATTTTACTTACTTGTGAGCGGGCCGTCAGCTGTTGAAAGGCCCAGGGCATTGCCACCATTCTTCTGCATATGTTCGACAATGTTGTCTGAAATTGGTTGGAAAGCAAAAAATGGCGCAAGACCCGGCACAGTGAGAACTGTGGAGGCTTCTTCTGTAAAGATCTTGACGATTCCCTTGAAAAGAGCAGGGTCGTTCTTGAAGGTTACAGTCTTGAACCTTTTTAGAGGTCAGCATTTTCTGCGATTCAGTCGAACTCTGGAACTTACACTTCTCTGGACAACAGTTAGCATGTTCTCCTGAATACGCATTTGGAAACCTACCTCGCAAGGGTAGTCTGATTAAGAGCCAAAGCCAAATCACCCATACTCGCAAATCCTGTTTCATCACCTAGGACTGGAATTTTATTCAAAGTCTCAAAAATCGTGGCGTTTCCAATTGCCTTTCCATATGTTGGCCCCGCAACTCCAATGAATCCTCCAAGCTGTGCGGCATACCCATATGAAACATAGAGATGTGCAAAATTATCGGTTGGAGCGTCCGTCAGAAACTTTGTGTATGCGTCAACAAGTTTGTTGTTCTGATCCGCATTGTAGTATTTGCTACCTCCCCATAACAGGCCTTGTTCGAAAGTCGCGAGATCAAAGCGTGACACGATTCCGAAGTTGGTACCAGACCCTCCGCGAAGTGCCCAGTAGAGGTCGGCGTGGGAGGTTGGAGAAGCATTGACGATTGCACCGGATGCAAGAACAACTTCATAGTTCACAACGTTGTCACAGCCCCACCCGAAACGACCAGAAAAATATGATATTCCACCTTCAATTCATTAGCATGAACAACTGATTGGGGCCACTCAACCGACCACCCAGAAGCAATCCTCCGACACCAACGCCTGCCTCCCTCCCGCCAACAACAGAAACTCCTAGTGGATCCAGTTGCCGATAAACGTCATGCCATGTGTTACCAGGCCCAACTTGCGTTACTGTTCGATCAGAACTCAATGATACCATATTCAGTTTCGCCAAGTTTATCAACATCCCATCTTGAATACTTGAAGCTCCAGCAAATGCCGCATGCCCTCCGCTCTTTACTGCGAATGGACATTGCGTTAATCTGGAGATCAGGACAGTGTTTGAGATGTCTTTCGCAGAGGAAACGTCTACCCTACAACCGGGTTTGACTTCGGCTTGTTGAATCGACCAGTAGGGTAAAGGTTCATAGCCGCTTGAATTCGAATTACTTACAGTCATGGCGAATAGCGGAAGTAAAGCACACTTGTTTTATTAGCGGTCGTATGCAAATCAATTTGGTATTTGCCTTACAGCGACTTGGCATTTGCTAAATCCATGTAAGGAGGATGAAGCTTTCAGGGTTTGGAGCTGGGCTTCGAGGTCTGCAGAAGATATATCAAGAAGGTTTAGCCCGGTGCTCGAAGGATTTGAAAGAAGTTCTTCGAATGGATCTGTTGCTTTGTTATTTGGAAACGTGAGTCCAAGATGACAGAAAGCCAAAACGAGATGGGCCTTGACGAGATGCATCTTTGTCCAAAAGTGCGTAACGAATGTGGCGGATTTGATGAGGAGAAAAGAGGCACTGAATAAGCCTCTATGTCGTTCTTTCCTCGACACCTGGAGGGGACAAACAAAGGGATCTTCAACTGAATTTTGTTGTCACAAACAAAAAGGTTACCGAGGGAAGGCACTGGCTCAACGTCCACAGTCCACAATATGGAGTCTTTATCAATTGGATTACCCAGGGTGGCCCTAGAACCCAACTACACATAGATATACATAGGCTTCCTATATTGGAAAATCTCCATCAAACACGGCTTCCCACATGGCAACCCGCATATTTCTGTTGATCAGCAATGGGTGTTTGCATTGGACTTTATTTTTCTCTCGGTGCGCACCACCCACCACTTACTCGATACCGGTGGCGATTGCTGCAACCGGTATGAGACGAGCACACAAGCATTCGGTCGTGGAAGGGTGCAGCAACCCAATTTCAACTTCAAGCTTTTTTGGTAAGGGTGGGAATCAGATGGATCTACTTCGGTTGACGCTTTCCGGTAAGCAGCTGTTGGCAGATCGAAACTTACTTGATGAGGACTAGTGGAAGCGGAGAAGCGACGTTCCGGATACATGGTTGGACAGGATAAGAAGAGCACCTCGTGGGCATCCATTTTGTTTTGAGGCTGATGATACGGATTGATACGCATTGAGCGGCGGCACAGTAATGGGCTTTGAGGGTTTATTGGTTTGGACTTCTTCAGCGGGGCGAGTCACGTGGAAATGAGTAGGACAAGGGTTCTGATGATGCGGGTTCATTGGTTGAGAACCAAAAGATCGGGCTTTACTGGCAGACGAAGATCTTGGTTGTCAAGATCTTGGGTCGGGCTTCCCAGAATGGCAGGTTGTCTCCGGAAACGAGGGATCCGTTGGTCTGGTTTAAACGGCGGTACCGACGCTACTAGACGACTTCAATGAAAGACACACGACGACTTTCAATACGACTTTCAATATTTTCGTCACGGAGGATTGATTGAGCAATGAGTCAGTGACAGATTCCGTCAAATTCGTTCGAGATTTAAATCGTTTTAGGAAGGTTTACTCGACGCCTGTGGTTCGTACTCAGCTGAATCTAACCATGGTACTCGTACAGGTACGGAGGTAAGTCCGCAACAGAAGGATGAGGGGTTTTTATTGTTCTTTACACTACCACAGCAATCGTATGCTTTTCTGGTTATCCTTCGCATCTGGCATGAAATCTAATACGGACATCGATCTGCAGAGATGGTCAGCTGTAGCAAAAAAGTCTTATGACACTGCGAACACAAGTGACGGGCATTCAGCAATCATATCGCCCAGCAATATTATAAAGTCTTCTTCCACGTAAGAAAGAGGACGGAATAGAAGACAGCGGTTTGCATTATTACCAGTGACCGAAGAAATATCACTATCCAGTCTTGATGTTGCATCGATGTATTCCCTAGCAACACCAGAAAATCAAAACCCGTATTAAGACTCCACTACACCACAACCCCATAACAATTTCAAATATCAACGAAGCTCTTTCTCCTCAATCGCGGCCTTGTCGGAAGTATGGCCATGCTCGAGTATATCTTTTCCAACTGGGGATTCGATACCGATGGTGGTTGCACGTCGAGTATCAACAACTTCCTTGTTGAACAGATTGACATATATGGGATAAATCCAAGCAGCAATGAAACCAGCCATAGGAATGAGCATTGCAGTGTGAAATCTGTTCGGGTCGTCTTTTCCGAGATGGGTTGCTACAGCACCAGTCATTGGAGGGAAGACAGCACCACCTGAGATGGCAGCTACGAGAAGAGAGCCACCAATCTTGGTATGTCGACCCAGTCCACGAAGTCCGAGAGTAAAGATTGTTGCAAAGCAAGCAGATTCAAAACAAAGTACGAAACAAAGCATAGCAATTGAAGCATCGCCGCGTGACTGCGAAGCCGCAACAGCAAAAACAAAGCATGCGCCGAGGTATACGGAGAGGAGGTAACGTGGTTTGATAGCCTTGATCGTCAACAAGCCACCAGCGACGAATCGGTTGAATGCGTAGAGACCTTGGGCGGCGGCAAAGATATCGGCTGATTTGAAGTTAGCATGTATTCATATTTGGGCACGGCTTGGAAATGACTTACAAGACTTGTCGGCCTCCTTTCCTGTTTCTTGGACGAAGTTGACAAAGTAATTTGCAACAGCAACTTGAGCACCAACGTAGCAGAACTGACTCCAGACAGCAAGGAAGAGATTGACCTGCTTCTTGAAAGGTCCTGGGTCGTATTCGGCAATCTCCATCTCCTGAGTTCCCATATCGGCATCCGTAATCTCAGGCATTGGTGCAAGGAAGAACAAGATGATAAGAAGGCCAACAAAGCAAGCGACTCCCAGATAGACCCATTGTACGTTCTTAAGTCCCTGATCGGTATCGACGGTCTTGGCGAAGAAGACTCTGGAAGCCAACAGAGGTGCGACAAAAGATCCAACTCCTTGAATAGCTTGTGCCAAGTTCAGTCGAATCTCGGAATATCTTGGTGGGCCACAGATGGACAAGAAGGGATCAGCAGCAGTCTCGAGAGTTGCAAGTCCAGCGCCAACAACAAACATTGAACCGCAAAAGCCTCCAAATGAATGTTTTACTCCGCTGGGCCACATGAGAAGACTTCCGACGGCGAGAACACCAAGTCCGATCATGAAGGTAACTCGGAATCCAAACTTGCGAAGGATCCACCCGGAGATGGTTGGCGGGCATAGAGCGTACGCGCCAAAGTATGCTGATGAAAGACCAGCCGACTGGGACGGACTAAGCTTTAATGACTTTTGGAAATGTGGGTTGAGGACATCGAGAAGACCGTACGCGAAACCCCTATCATCTTAGTTAGCATGTCCCTACACTCATGAGATCAAAAGATTTTTGTTCCCATAACCATTGCTTACCAAAGGAAGAAGAGGATAGTTACTGTACGCGATAAAGGTTAGTACATGTGTGCGTAAAAATGCGGGAATTATTTGGAGCCCACTCACCTAGGAAATTAGGAACTAGTGACTGTTTGTTGGTCAAGTGTACTGCGGATGGTACGACATAATCGGCAACTGTGATCTTTCGCTTGTAGAGGCCCATCTTGATGGTGTATGCTCGGGTATCTTTCGAAGTTGTGTTGTGTGTTGAGACAAACCAGCTTGATGGTAACGATCGTGGATGTGGTTATAAATATCAGCTTGAGGCTACGAGCGGCGTATTTGTAGGCGAATAGAAAGAGGGGAAATTGGCTCAATACAGCACGACAGACACACATTCACTGATTAAGGGGCAAACGATATATTCTTATTACACAACCGCGTTCACTTACCACTTTCCCCGACTGGTTAATCCCATCCTGTCGACGAGTCGGTGTAAAGACCCACGAGATCACGGTCACTAAATAATTATCCTCCTTACTATCGCAGCTTCCCAGAATAGAAGGACGCAAGCCAGGTGGCTGTTTCATCAGACAATTGACTGGCTCTTTACGTTTAGAAGGGGAGCAGTACAACATCAGCCCTGCAACGTTGAAGTGCTTGTGGAGTGATGATACGGAAATCTCCCAGTATCAGATATGCATGGACTAGGACCCCGCATTGTTGAGCCCCAATAAAACGCGGGGTTGACGATCTCATGACCTACGAGGCAGGCATTTTGAATATGATGTGTGTGATTGGTTGAGCTGTAAGTGTGCCTTACAGTATACGAACTGGCTAGCTCACAGACTAAGATCCCTAAGCTCTGCAAACGATATTTGTTGTTCACTGCACTCGAGGCACGCTCGTAAAGAAACTCATGCAGACTCCCGTCTCTAGAATTTCAACGTTCGTAGCGTTTTCGATTTACTGTACGGCTTGCGCCATGCATACAGTTCATTACATGGCAAACACTTCGTGAACCACGTTGCTGAGGTCCAGGGAGATCGGCCGAGGAAGCACCACCACACAATTCAATCATACCGTCAGGCTTGTGTAACAGACGCCCCCATCTGTTTGAAGCAGGGTTGCCACTGACCCACTGGGTAATCGGCAAGTCTTGTGACTTTGCCTTCCTCGTGATGTTTGTAGGATCAGGTGCGACTTACCTGATCAGTCTTTTACTTATATAAACGGTTGGCGTGTCGTTGGATACTGTACTATAGGCGAGAAGTGGCTTCTTCTGTGGAGAATCCTGGGGTTGTGGGATCGAAATTTTTGGCGTTATTGTTATTTTGTGGCGTAGTCACAATGATGGAGTGAGGGATATTCTGATTGGTTGTTAAAAGCTTGCCATCGTTGTGTGGGGTGTGTGACACCAAGGGCGACTTGATCGAGACTTATGAACTGTGGCTTCGAGTGATTCGTTGTACAGCACAATTTAGACCTAGCAAATGCCTCGGTCCTCGATTGGTTCGGAGAATCGGTATTTGAATGTCGAATTTGCTGTTTACTGGGCATATTTAACATGTTTCACGTAGTGATTCATAGAAGTTTGTTCTTACATTCACACCAATCTATGCGAATCCATGAATTGATCGTCTTAGAACATTTTGTCTTATGCAATAGTAAGAATTTAAGCCATTCCTGGACCAGCGAGCACTCAAATCCAAACTCCTATGGCTTTGCTACCTCTTCTTAACAGTTTCCTTCCTCCCCCATCCATCATGTCGCCCCTTTTATTACTACCAAGATACTTCTCGCTTCCCATGAATCTTCGTAGACAATCCTTTGTTTGCAAACAGAATAATGCCGTATCTAGATTTTACTCATCAAACAAATGCGCTCGCTACTATCTAAATCGGAATATCCAAGAAACTATCCGGTAACTCTCTGCCCTATCTGCTCAAGCATCGAATAAATACAAAAAGAATACGAGTACAGTACTCACTAAACCCCAGTCTAAACCACCAACACAACCTCAAAATCCAATCCACTTTCCTCGTCCACCCCAAATCCTCCCATTCCTCCCTTCATCCCCAAAGATTGCGGACTTCGCCACTGGAACGGGTATCTGGCCTCTTCAAGTTTCTAGTCTCCTTCCAAAGGCTCAGATTGAGGGGTTTGACATTTCAGACTTGCAATTCCCGGAGAGAAAGACTTGGCCTGAGAATTTAAAGTTGTCGAAGAGAGATGTGCTTGATGAGAAAGCGTGGGAGGGTGGTGGAAAATATGATCTTGTGAATGTACGTGCGCTTGTTTCTGTGCTTCAAGATAGGGAGTGGGAGGTCGTGGTTAGGAACTTGGTGAGGGCATTTAGTGAGTGTTTTTTTTTCGAGGGATGAATTTCGTATTTGTGTGAGAGAAAGCTGACTGTTTTGATTGGGCTCTAGAATCTGGTGGCTGGATACAGTGAGTGGTATTCTTGATCGGCTCTGAGAGCTATAGTGTCAAGGACTCAAAACTAATATTGAACAGGTGGGTAGATGGAGATCTCTCGCCTAAAAGTTATAAATGTATCACTTCCTCGCCATCACACCAACTACCAATTGACAATCCTCTCTCTAAGGGCATCAAACTTTACCATGAATGGTCCAGACATCTCAATCGCAACCTCGCTACTTGCACCACACTTCCCGCTATTTTCGCAGTTAACAATTTAGGTTCGATATCGCACTCGTTGCATCATATTGATGGACCTCGATCGAGACATGAGTTTACAGTTGTGTTGTCACAGGGAATCTCATCTATTCTTTCCCATTGGGCGGCTGATTTGCGAGCTGAGATGTGTTCCATTGCGAATGTTTCAGGAGACGACGTTAATATTTCACCGGATGAGATTGAGGAGGCAGGGAAAGAGATGGTGAGATTCTCGAGAGGAGGGAAAGCTTGGGGAGCAGTGGATATACACGCTGTCGCTGCAAGGAAATCGAGCTAGCCTCAATCAGATTCGAAAATCCCGACTTGATATGGATGTGATTTGCAGGCTGATGAGGAACCGAACTTTGGTTCAAGTAAACCAACCTCCCTTTTTCCTTCCAACCTTAAGGTACAAGTTCCAGGTTGTGTTGCGGGTTAAGACGCAGGCTCGTGCAGGTGACACCTGCAGAAAGTCCCGACCTCGTGTGGCACCATCAAAGATTCAGTTTCCCGAGTCGTTGGGTCCTGATCCCGTTGAATTTACGACTGCAGGTATCCTTCGTTAAGGTCGACAGGCATTTTCCTCGCACCGTCGAGTCTCGCCTCGTGCCTTGTCCCACCTTGCCGTTGTCGCACTAATGTGGTGAGAGCGAGACATGAGGCCATGCCAAGATCTCGAACAACAGGATGTCAATTTGGAACTCTCAGGACGGTGTGTTCTGGTCGAGATTGAAAAATCAGAGATTGTGAGATTTGACTGAGAGGAGGGCGATACTTATCTGGTACCTATGAGAGGTGTGGTGGGATAACTCGGTGATGAGGGAACGAAGGTTTTCACCAGTGGAAAGAGGGTTCTCGGTAACTTGATTAATTATATATAACTATGGAGTAATCTTACATATATACCTGGGTATAGGTGGTAGACTTCCCACAAAGGTCTACCTATACCCGTTGAATTTCTCACCATAATATTACATTATTAAGGAGTGTGTGGAATGTCTTCCCGCTTTCTTTTACCGTTCATTGGGACAGATAAATAAAGCTTCCTGCTCACCATTTCCCACGCCCATTTCAGACCTCACACTCAGAGTCAGAAGAGTCAGAAGTGCTAGAAGTTCCATTCTTCTCTGGAGTAATAGCAATGCCGCCTTCCACCAACCAATTAGCCAACCCCATTCCGAGCTACAGAAAATATAGGAGAAAGTATACCAAAGTATAAAACATTTGTATTTTGATTCTCTGCATATGCCAACTCTCACCACGAAGAAAAACTATGTCGACTTACAAGTCGTCACAGTATTTCCATCCTTCTGCGTCTCCTTGCACTCCACCTTCTTGCTGGTAGTAAAGGTCAACTCGAACGTTCCTTCTTTAAGTGCGACGAAATCGATAGAGGCGTTGCTGCCATCTCCGTTCAATCCGATACCCAGGCCGATGGTGATGTTTTTGGGAGAGATGGTGAAACCACCTCCTAGACCATAATCAGTGGATCCGGCTTGGACACCACCTGGAAGCGCAGACAATTAGTATCCATATTATTGATTGTTGAGAAGACAACAGCAGCCCTGGCTAGCTTTCCTTGGAAGAGAAAGAGGGTTGGATTGAGGAGGAAGGGAGTAACATACCACCGTAGGAGACATCCTTATTCCAGTTAATCCCACATCCAACACCAATGCTACCAAAAGGCTCTAGTGTCCCCGCAGCCGAAATATCACCCAGTCCCTTGGTGCCAGTTCCATTACTATTGAGTTGCGAGATTTTGACGCCCTCATCCTGTCTTGGTCTAAGGGAGCCGGCAGAAGCGGTGGCGAGGAGCGCGAGGAGAACAACCTGAACGTTGGCGATCATATTGATATATTGAATAAGTATTTGGTTGGAAAACGAACGTTAGGTTATGAGAAAGGGAAAAAAAGAGTGTGGTGGGGGAGGAAAAGGGAAGATGGGGCTTAGGATGAGGATATATAATGTGGATGCGGTCGCTTCGGACTATACCCCTGAACAACCGTAAGATAAAGTTTCAAAGTGGGTTTTCTGCGTGGAGACTTTGGGGAAATTGAAATTGGATGGGCGGCCTACTTTATAGCGGGACTTCCCGATTTGGAAAAGTCTAAGTAGATCTTTTTTGGTTCTTGTGAAGTATACCTCCGTACTCCGTATATCATGTCATCTTTATACGATGAGGAGTTCATAGACTACGTTTGCACAAGAGGTCTCTCGGCCTCTCTTTTCTTCACCTTGATTAAGGACGCGCCAAGGAAACGTGGAAATTAGTCTGTTTCTGTCATCTCATGGCAGAAACATTGTCGGTTGTGTCAGGGAAAGTATAAATAAGATATACTGGAGTCTGGACCCCTGGAAATATACCGGCGCTTGGGTAACAGCTGAAGATGCCGTCATGCTGGACTCATTTGGTTAGGTTTGACAACCTCTTGTTGGGTTGAAAGTATTAGCAAACAAAAGTATGTACTCCGTACTTATCTCTACGATTCAACGACTTTAATAGCCTCTGGGTGAGCACTTCGCAACTTCCAAACAGACCGCCTCATTTTAGACAAAGTTGTTACGATACAAGCAAATTTCTGCCCTACTAGAATATTAATAACCTTGAAGGATAAGATAATAGAACTTAGGAAATATAGTAGAGGGGTTATCTAACAGATAGCCTATATAGTAACAATTAAGCTTAACAATCACCTAGCGCGTCTAAAAAAGCAGTCCAGGTATGATGCCTCGTCCCTAGAAACATAGTGGGCGGCTACCAAGGTAGTTGTTTCCTACGATTCTTTTCTTAGAATTACTAGGCACCGGGACTCCTACTTCTACGATGTAGATTTCTGGATAGCTTCGAGTCCTAGCCTCGTCCTCGTAAGTCCTTAGATAAAGCAGCATTAGAGTGCAGGCCTATGAGACATACCTTTTTAAGACCACCCCCACGGCCAGGTCCAAAACAGTTTGTGGATGTAACGCATCTTAACAACAAGTGACGAGACATGGATATTTTTTCCTCGCAATGTTACGACTAGGTACCCTCAACTACCAGAATTAATGGGTATGTGGAAAACCCTACAGGCTAGTCACACTGGCATTCGAGAATCCCTCGTAGCTGCGCAAAGAAAATCAGAAATTGCCCGAGAAAACAAGCTAAATGAATGAATCTACCACAAAAACAACCATTTCTTCGCAAAGAAAGTTCGGCACGGCTGCAAGATGACAGCACAGAAAGAAGTCAAAATTCCCTACTTCACAAGCCCTTTTTTAAACTCTCGCTCACCTCATACGAATATGTCCCGCCTAAGCTAATTATATCGTTCCCACTCTCCCCCTACGTCTTCAGCCTTACCAGCCCGCCAAGACAACAACCCAGCTTGCTGGCTTTAAGAGGGTAAATAACGAACGGGACTAGGACATAGCATAATACATAAACCAAAATACTTACAAGATTAAGACATAAGTGGTTTAAGTAGTTTTCGGAGGATAATTCTGTGTGTCGATCCGATTCTTGTACACTCATGGATTCCATCTTTTGCCCTTAATGCTGTTAGTTCCTCGTTGCCGCCTTTAAGAATAGAGACAATGAATGAGACTAGGATGCATCACAACATTATAAACCAAGATACTTGCAGGATCAAGATACAGTAGAAGTAATTTAAGTAGTTTTCGGAGAATACCTTTTCAAGAGTGTGGATCCGATTCTTATACGAGTACACTACCCATGGGATCCATGCTTTACCTTTAACACTCAATTTATAGATACATCATACAATTTACAAAGGTACACATTCCTAGCATCTCAGTCCTCGTATAGCACACAACTCTGAAATCTCCTCAAAGCTCCACAATCTCGTCATCGGTCCTCTACTTCCATATAAAACTTACTCAACATTCCCTACATTGTCTTTCAAAGTCTCTCCCACACCTTCCTTCCCTCGTGTTTCGTTTCCAAATATGTTTAAAGCACCCCCTTGATCATGTGACGCTCGTGCTGTACATGAAGCACCAGCTGATCTTCCCCTTTCGTTAAATTTCTATGCGAACTATTGACATCTTAGTGGAATCTTTTGTGGGATCCGATTTCGCGGTTCGCTTGTGAAGGGACGCGATGCGGTGACGTTGATGGGTATAACATTGGGCAATTATATACCATATACAGTACCCATCAAAAACTCCCGTTTTCCACGCGACTAAGCTCTGGTAAGTCAACAGAATATAGGTATTTATTGTCAGTTAAAACACATGGCCAAGTATCAAAGCACTACTTACAACTCGCTTTCACATTCATCTCCCAGTCTAAGAAACTAGAACTCACCCCCATCACTCCATCCCTGAAATTTAATGCTCAAATTGCCACGCTCAACCAAGCATGTCCTCCTAAACAAAAAGACAAGAAGTGAAAATAGCACCTACCTCTTTCTTCCCCCTTTACACTACCCAGAGGAAACGATTCCAGCCAACCCTACTCCACCTCACTCCCATGTAAGATACAAATACCTATGAAATACCAGAACAATCAACAAATTAAACCTACTCTCTAACCAAACGCCCATATTCATCCAAAATGACACAGCGGCGAAATATTCTCTATTCAGGCATTGATATCAACCTTCTTCAAATCCCCACCAGTTTCACCTCTTCCTTGTTCCCAAGTCCTTGCAGTGATATCATGACTTCTACTTGCCAGAAGCAAAATAACGTTTTGTGAGTGCATGTCTATTCCCCAGCTATTAACTCAGGAATATGCCAGTGCGATAAAAATGGATAAGTTCCTGTCTCTTACTTTAAGTAATACTAATATCTTGATGTTACCAAGCGAAACACATATCTAAGGAAGAGCGGGAGAACGCTTGCTTGACTTTATAAAGGTACCTCGCTACTTCCTGCCTTCATTATCATCCCCCTATCCACTCGCTAATTGCAGAATCCCTTCTGCCTTACGCAAATCCTACTTATGTCATCTTCTATCTGTACCCACAACCCATGTCAGAATCAGGACCTCGTATTTCTCAGTCCAGGCTTAGCGAGCTTGGAACTGCGCCCAATGTTCTCATATCTGCCAAACGTGTCTTCCAGACGCACTATAATTCACGAGCACCAGATGTAAATTTCTCGCTTCTAGAGATACCCGCTTTATAAAGATTGCCGTTATAACAGTTAGTGGTATCCTTTTCTCGCCGTCGATATATAGCCACTCCTTGAATGTAATACGCGCTGTATTTCAGAAAAAGTTCACAACTAGCAATCCTTTCGAATATAGTATGGCGATCTGCCGTTTACGGAAAACTATGGATCCTCTTCAGCGAATATTCTTAACAGCTGCGTCCCAGTTATATCGACGGTATTGGTGTTCAAGTCTACTAATAAATGGAGAACAGTAGGCGAATTTGAAATAAGGGTCAACTAGTCTGGAATTTATTACCGTGTTCAGGAAGAGAATACATGGGGTCTAAAGAAATTGCCTTTGATAGTTCGGGCAACCGATCATATAGTAAATTGTTTGATCCAACCCTCTTCCGTTTTGCTGTTCTTCTTCGCGTGTTACCAGTCCTGACTTCTTCCAGCCTTATGTTACTGACTAAACCTCACTTTGCCAACCACGTCCTCTCAATAGACATTTGTGACAATCAACGTGAAAGGTTCTCACTAAATATTTATCAGACTTTCGTCTGCGTACTGCTTAAATCCATACTACTTTGATCATGCCTGACTACTTCTTCCGCACAAAAACATACCTTCGACATTCGTACCTCACTTCTGCAGTAAAATGGGAAGCTCAAGTCTCTCGAATTTACCCGAAAGGCACGCTTTGATGGAGGTTATTGAATTGTATGTATGTGTGACTCGCCTGAGATGGGGGTTACACAGGGGCCGGGCGGGGATCTGGACAGGGGTTACATTGGTGGCTATATACGTACGGTCAAGAACCTCGTTTGGCAAGTGACTCCGTAAGGATTGCTTCGTGCGAAATATTATTTTACCGATGGTTCTCTAGACTCTAGTCGTGGTTTGTAGCATAGTCAAATATCGCACAAGAGATATCGTTTTTTTTGGGAGGGGATTGTTCATTTTCTGAAAGACGGAATGGATTTTTGCCACGAGCCAAATACACTTGAAAGAGAGACTTCTAGGATCTGTCACTAGATTTATGACTTTTGCTATTCCCTCGTTGAGCGATTCCCATTGGGACGACTCATGCCAAGGATATCTTCGGGTTTCCTACTGAAAGAAATTGAGCCTGCAGAGATGTATTGCATATCTCTATTGATAGACATACCAAGGTGTTATGGAAAAGATTCAGGATAGTTGTCTCTGCTTTGATTTTTGGCTATAAGAACATGCGTTTCTCTTGGTTGAGGCGCGGACATTGTAGCTTCTTGATGTACTAGGACCCAAAATGAATATTCAATATTAATCTTGTTTTTTACGAGTTTTCATCATTGGCGCATTCGCTGAGTCTTCAGGTAAGTGGCCATTAAATGGTATTCGTTGAGATTTCATTAACTGACGAGATTCATTTGAGAAGCCTGAAGCCATGCGGGTATTCAGAGAAGAGATGATAACTCAAGCTTGACTGAATTGGTATCAGTAACGCCGACGCAGACATCCAATACTCTTCATCCAAGCATCACACCACCACCGAATTTCAACCTCGCCTTGACAAAGGGTCCTCTGATCTTTGGAGAGCCTAGCGAGTGCCATAACGCTAGTTTCATAAACAGTCTCTCGAAGTGGATTGGCAATCAAACAATCGAAGATAATCCATGTCGGAAAGATGATAATGCCCCTTGTAGGGCTTGGACCTCAGTCAGTTTGTAAGTATAACTAACTCCTTTTCAATCCAAGATCCCCAGCGCGCTAACTTACTTCTCAGAGATGTTGGAAGTGTTCAGCTGTTTTACTTCCCTCCCGTCACGGCGAATGTTTCGTATCCTTCCACTGTCTACATGTCCCATTTGGATTACACTTTGTGCGTATAGATACAAACCAAATTCTGCAAACTGGGCTTGACTGATGGCTATCTAGTACATCCCCCTCAGTTTACATGGTCTGGTCCACGATTCGCGGTTACAACCACTGTAGTACAACGAGCATAATTCGACCTATAGCCGTGCCTGGCCCCGATAACTCCGTAATCACGACAAGCGGATGGCTCACAGTCCCTAACGACAAGTATCCAGTCGGCCCAACACTTCGAAGTGTCATCTACCCATTCGATTTGACACAAGTCAGTAGCCAAACAATGCGGCTTTTCGTCACCACAGTACCTGTAGGGGGATTCTTTGAGTGGCATCCCGGGGGGTCGGCCGCACTCACATTGTCTGATTGTGTAGCGATTGTTCCGTCCTCAGTCTCCCAAGCGTGTATAGCGAGCATACCACACTTTACTCGGCGGCTGTACAACGATCGTGGTCGTCGCGGATGGCAAAGGACAACAGGGTGGCTCGATATAACCCGTATTTGATGATTCCTGGTGTGGTCCTGGATTTTGGCATGGCATGGTGGAAAGAGGGTATTATTCCCAGGTTTAATTCTTTGGATATGCCAGATCCCCCGTATGCTATCACCCGTAATTCAAATCTTCAACCTACGGCCCCTGAGCTACCAGCTACATTCATCAAGCCTTTCACTTCTTCGTTGCCGATGCCGGTTGCTACGAGAACTCCAGGATCCGCCCCTACTGCAATTTCACCCCCTCAGAATGGGAGCCCTGATCCACCTAGCCCAATAGGAGATATTCCAAACCATGACTCCAATCCTTAAACTCCTTCGCCTGCTGATACAGATCATCGGCCCCAGGGGGATTCTGGCGTCGCAGGAGATACCGACGGCTCAAAACCCAATGTTGGTGTCTCCCCGAACAATATGGATCATGATCTTGGAGGACACACACACACTGCAGGTAATGGAGACAACAATGGTCTTGCAGGCGGGAATGGCTCCCCAAATAGCAATAACCCAACCGTGTCCGCCGTCTCGGTAGCAGTAATCGGGACAGAAGTCATATCCGTCATCCCAGGGAAGTATTTCAACGGGAATACAGAAGGGATTGCATATATTCTCCCAGGAGGAGCTACACTTAAGCAGGAAGCGTTACCACACTCCGCGCCAACGATGGAAAATTCGTTGCCGTCTCAGCTGGGACTAAAGGGACCTTGGTTGTCAGCACCATTGGAGATTCGAGAGACACTACGTTTTCTGCACCTTTTCGAAATGATGTTCTCGTTCCGTCTTTGGGGGTTGGTGCAGCCGATCAGGATCCTTATGTTGGGACTTTAGTCAATAGCATGATTAACAAAGGTTCGCCTGGGCAGACTGAAGCGAGGGTTTCTACTGCTGGTGGTCAGATATTGTTCGCAAGTCCTGCATCTACTCCGAGCGCGGGTCTGGGTTTGGAAAATGGAGCTGTATCTGAGAGTGGTAGTAGTAATGGTGGAAGCAGTAGCGAAGGCAATTTGTTTCGCGGAGCTGGAACTGATAACTCGACTACCAGTGGTTCGGGAGCTCTTGAAAGTGGCCGTTGCTACGCGGTGATTTGGGGGATTATTGGGATTCTTCTGTTCTCATAGGATTCTTTTATTTCCTTGACTATATGGCTATCTGAGAAATATTTGTGAAAACCATGACATGTTAAGTAGTTAAATTTCAGATATCCTCAGCAAGTCTTGTCTCTCGCTTAATGTCGCGAGGGCACCTCTCTTAGATACTGTCGTAATTGGAACATGTGTTTGTTCACGTGACCTGGCACTGGCATACAACCCACCAGAACCTAAGCGACAGATATTGTAAGCGAAAAGGATGTTTGCAGAAATCCCTGAATATTGAAAAAGTGTCATTTAAGTGATTGATCAAGTTGGAAGTCTGTGTGGGGAACGGAATCTGCACTGTCAAAGAAAATAGACTTTGATAGTTCTTGTAATTGGGCTAACCATGTCATGTTTACTTCGGGTCTCGTTCCCCATACAGCACAGAAAATGCACTTACGATGGGGCACCAATGGTGGCTGAGAAAATTAGAACAACCGTGTTTTCCATAGCAACTTCCATTCACTTCATGCTCGTCGAGGATTGCAATAAAAATAAAAGCCTGTTACAAATGTTGCACCTCGCAAATATAATAATAGTCCATTCGGCTGGTGCTAGTGCTTAATATAAACAAATCAAGTAATCCAGTCTGACTCGCGTGCCCAGCAACCTTCCAAACAGCCTCGGCTCCTTCCTGATTGGCGATAACCGCGTCATACAGTGCACCCCAGCTTTTCACATGTTACCATTCGCCGATGAGGGCCAATCAGAAGCACTGGAATCGTAACATTTTGCGCGCACATGACTGAGGACGGTCGCAGCTGATGGGGAAGTTGAAGCTTGTGGAAGCAAAATCCGGGGTTTGCGTGGGGCAGAGTTCAGGTCTGGTTGTGGAGAGGAAGAATCAGTGCCAGGTTGGAATGTTCAGGAGACATGTGAAAGAGTCGGATACCAAGTTCTTCAAACACTGACACTGCCACTGACACTGCGACTACCGCTGCACTCCACTAGCACTTGACACAGCATAAGCACATTTACACTAGAATAAAGTCAACCAAATTCCTCGAACCTTCTTTTTCAATTCCTTCCTCTTCCCCATTTTGCATCGCATTTCCCATACAACCACATCCATCATGTCCAAATTCTTCTCCCAGGCCGACGTGGCGTCGCATAACAAAGCTGACGATCTCTACGTGATCATTGACGAAGATGTCTACGACCTCACCAAGTTCGCAGACGAGCACCCAGGTATGCTGCTCTCTGCCTCAATTTGCCACCAACCATACTAATCATATCCTTTTCACAGGTGGAAAGAAGATCCTCACCCGAGTCGCCGGCAAAGAAGCCAGCAAACAATTCTGGAAATACCATAACGAGGGCATCCTCAAGAAATACAAGGCGAAATTGCAGGTCGGATCGCTGGATACCAAGAAGAAGGCTGCTGCTCCACCACCACCACCTCCAACAGAGGCTGTGAAGCCCAAGGCTGAGAGCGGTACAGTGGCAGCTGTGCCTGGAAAGGGTGCAAAGCAGGTAGTCGACAACACGGATGCCGAGGTTTTGGAGCCATATGGTGACTTGATCCCATTCGCGGATCCAAGTTGGTACCAAGGTGTATGTTGACCCTCTTTCCCAATTGCTACTAGCTGAGAGCTAACGATATGAATCTTAGTTCCACTCTCCATACTTCAACGAAACACATGCCGCTCTCCGTGAGGAAGTCCGCGAATGGATCACTGAGAAGGTTGAGCCTTTTGTTGCGGAATGGGATGAAGCAAAGAAAGTCCCAGACGAGATCTACAAGGAGATGGGTACTCGTGGTTACCTTGCTGGGTTGATGGGCATGCATTACCCAACTCAATATACCGATAACAGAATCAAGAGTGTACCACCAGAGAAGTGGGATTTGTTCCACGAGATGTTGGTCACTGACGAATTATCCCGTGCCGCCAGTGGTGGGTTCGTCTGGAACGTCATCGGAGGTTTCGGTATTGGATGCCCTCCTCTTGTCAAGTTCGGTAAGAAAGAGGTTGTCAAGAGAGTCCTACCCGGCATCCTGAACGGTGATAAGCGAATTTGTTTGGCCATTACTGAGCCGGATGCTGGTAGTGATGTTGCCAATCTTACTTGCGAGGCCAAGTTGACCGAGGATGGTAAACATTATATCGTCAATGGTGAGAAGAAATGGATCACGAATGGTATCTGGTCCGATTACTTCACCACCGCTGTACGAACTGGTACTCCAGAGAGCGGAATGAATGGAATCAGTGTTCTTCTCATTGAGAGAAGTATGGGTGGTGTCAGCACCAGAAAGATGGACTGCCAGGGTGTCTGGTCTAGTGGAACAACATACATCACATTCGAAGATGTTAAGGTTCCAGTGGAGAACTTGATTGGAAAGGAGAACCAAGGTTTCAAAGGTATTTCCCCCAGCTTCCCAACAACCATTCCCTTCCTCTTTCATCTTGAATTAAAACTAACATACACCCAGTCATAATGACCAACTTCAACCACGAGCGTATCGGCATCATCATCCAATGCCTCCGCTTCTCCCGAGTCTGCTACGAGGAATCCATCAAATACGCCCACAAGCGCCGAACCTTCGGCAAGAAACTCATCGAGCACCCCGTAATCCGCCTCAAACTCGCCCACATGGCCCGTCAAATCGAAGCCTCATACTCCTGGCTCGAATCCCTGATCCACCAAATCTCCCACATGCCCGAGCAAATGGCCATGTTGCGACTCGGTGGACCCATCGCCGGCCTCAAAGCTCAAGCAACGGTGACCTTCGAGTTTTGTGCCAGAGAGGCGAGTCAGATCTTTGGTGGCTTGAGTTATAGTCGTGGTGGACAGGGTGGGAAGGTCGAGAGACTTTATAGAGATGTGAGGGCTTATGCTATTCCTGGAGGAAGTGAGGAGATTATGTTGGATTTGAGTATTCGGCAGAGTTTGAGGGTGGGGAAAGTTATGGGGATGAAGTTGTAGGTTGGTGGATTTGGGTCGGTGGAGGTTCGGGGAGGGGGGATGCGGCGCTTTTTTGTATAGATAGGCACGGTCGGATTTTAGTCGTAGACTGTTCGGGGCTTTGGATGGAGGGTGAGGGGTGGTGGGTGCGCTTGGGTTGGAGGGTATTCTGTGTATATTTTGGGAGCCGAAAAATGAGATTCTTTTTATTTTCATTTTACCCTCCTTGCATATTGACAGCCCGGTGGAAAGACGTGCTGACTATTACAAGTTATATCTACTCTTTTTAGTATAGAATGGAATAGAATGGGATTCTAAATGCTGAACGTTGAATACTAATTTATTCGCCTGGACGGAAACACTATTTGGCTTGCGAGATGGATTTTCTGGGTAATTGCCATCTATTAAAAATCCGTATCGGGGAAATCCTTTGGGTAGGGTTGGATCATATTATTCATTCGTTCATTCATCATAACCACCACTAAATTCCCTAAATTCTCCAAGTGAACCCAACCATACGCATCTCCCGTAATATCCTAAAGAAAATCCAAAAGGACACCAGATCCTAACCATTGCCCATTTACTTACTCATCGATCCATCCCTGATACACAATCCGACTTCCATACTTCTCTCCCTGCCTCAAAAGAACCTGACCCCGCCATTCGGGAACATTGATCGCATTCACATACCGACTCGGTTCCACGCAGAATCCCGATCTCTTTCCTCGTGCCTTGGCACCTTCAACATCTGGGACGTCGATGTATTTCCCCGTGTAGAATTGGAAGGCGGGTTCCGTGCTGAGGACTTCAAGGGTGATTTTTGTGAGGGGGTGGTGGGCGGTGACTAGTTTTGTTAGAGGGCTGGAGCGCGTGTCGAGTGGGATGTGGGATGCGGTTGAGGGGTCGACGATGAAGCAGTCGTCTATGTCGGGGGTTTCTTCGCCTAGGATGAAGGGTGTTTGGGCTGTGACTCCTGAGTAGGTTGTTGGTGAACCGAGGGGGATGCCTCCATCGTCTACGGGCAGGTAGGCGGAGGAACAGAGGGTTATGGAGGTGCCGCTGATGGTTGGGTTGCCTGAAAGATTGAAGTATCTATTTTCACCAGAGGTAAGTAACTTGATATTGCTCCGCTTTATGGTGTACGGATATAGGGAATGCACATACGAGTGGTTCGTAACACTAACTGCCGTCTCCTCAACCTCATCCCCAACCAACTCAACCTCATACTCAATTCCCAACACCGTAGCTGTCTTCCCCTCCTTCGTCTTCTGCGTTCCAGCCGTATAAACAACACTCGCCTCCACCGTCCCCGGATACCCCTCATCCCCATCCTCACTCCTCAATGTGAACTTCACACTCTCACCCCCCTCAATTTCGCCAACACCCTCCACACCACGAACACCCACCGGCGTAGGACCCTCCCAAATCCTCTTTCCCCATCCTTTGACGCCTCCGTGTAGAGCATTCATGCCGTTGTTGGCGGCGAGTGTGTATTCCCTTCCATTCAGCTTGTCAATCTTCGCATTCTTGACGCGGTTGGCAACTCGTCCGATGGTTTCGCCGAAGAAGGGGCTGTTGTGGGACTCGTACTGGGATTGTTGCGGGAAGCCTTGGACGATGTTGGTTTTTCCTATGTAGAAGGATTGGATGATTGCGCCGAGGGGGAGGAACTCGAAGGCGGGGGAAGACATGGTGCGGTACGAGTAGTTTCGATGGGTTTGTTGGAGGAGTGGTTGGACTATGTTGTAGAGGCGTTTGCGGGAGAGGATGTTCATGCGTGGTGTGCGAAGGTGGTACAAGTATAGAGACAGAAGAAGTGAATGAGAGATGACGGAATATTTGAGCTGCTTCTTGTATCCCCACTTGGTAGAGTACAAGGTCAGGATGAGGTAAGGGGTGAGGGGTGAATCAGGCTGATGTCAATATGGTGGGGTGAAAGTTGTACCCCGCTAAAGCAGGCAGCGGCCAGCTCCTTGCCATACTGAAGCAGTCAAGAGATGGTTTGAATTGATCACCTACCGTGTCCTTCCTCTGGTTAGATATTTAGTGCCTGAATCGACTTTGAGGATTCAATCAGTGAGCTATTTTCGGCCGTGAATACCTAGGTAATCTTACGAGTAGATATCGTAGCCCTCCGGACGACGTCATACGCGTAGGTTGTATGGATTGAAGATCTCCTCGATTCTCCTGAGGTTAGTGTCAGATCAATTAATGTGATCTAGGGCGCCGTACTGCCAATATAAAGGAATTCGCCGTGACGCTAACAGAAAACGATGATGGGCAAAGGCATTCGCTTGGAGGAGTACCTACCAAAAGAAATGGTACTTGTACGCGATACTCGTACAAAAAGATTGGAACCTTAATGGAAACGCCGAACCCAGCCTACCACGTGACTAGCTAGACCCTCGCTAAAAAGCGGATGCCAGATTATTCAATTGAAGTTCTGAGAACACCCGTCGAACATCTCATCTCCACCCTCTTTCCCCTTTTCCACCCCACTTCATCCACCAAATTAGGAAATTCCTGACCACCGCTTCTTGCGGGGATCCTCATATATTGTGAAACGTACTGTCGTGAAATCAAGCGTGGTACGCCTGACAGTAGGTCCATGTCCAAACCAAACAATCCGGGCCCCAGTGCGGGGTAACATATTGTTTTAATCCACCTGTATCACCCTCGTCTAACAAAGTAAATAGACACTTGGATCCCATAAGTCGGATTGTTAATTGTTACTCAAGATGCCGGCGATGCTTGATGACCCTACTGCTGCCAGAATTACGCGCACTTCTTGTGACCCTCCGTATCCTGACCCTCATCACCCCGCACTCCCGTACGATATTACTCCCAGGTCAGTCACGCTTCGGGATCGAGTGACGGTCGCTACCATCATACCATTTTCCTCCGAACATCAGGTTCCGAGGTCTTTACTTGCATATCTTAGTGATCAGTTAAACAAAGAGATTGAGAATGGAGATACATACCCCATGATGGATGGTATGCCGGCAGACCAATTTGCCTCATATTGGTTTCAAAACTTCGGTGCTATCATGTTGCTTGGAAGATATAGCAGCGCCGATGAGGTGATTGAAGGAAAAGACTGGGCCAGGGAATGTTTGGGAAGTTTTTATATCAAACCTAATTATCCAGGTCGCAGCAGTCACGTTAGCAATGCTGGTTTTCTGGTAACAGAAGCAGCACGTAACAAAGGCGCGGGTCGTCTGATGGGAGAAAGTTATCTCGTTTGGGCCCCTCGATTGGGTTACGTCTACAGTGTTTTCAATCTAGTATACGAAACCAATGTAGCATCTTGTCGAATTTGGGATGCTCTCGGCTTTAAAAGAGTTGGAAAGATCAAGGGGGCTGGAAATCTTAAAAGTTACCCAGGCCAACTGATTGACGCCATCATCTACGGAAGAGATTTAACGCCAGAAGGCGAGGATTTTGTGAGTGAAGAACGCTTCGACAAGATCAAATTCTACTTGAAATTCGGCAAATATCCTGCTGGTGCTGATCGAGCCGAAAAAAGCAGGCTTCGAAGCGCGGCGACACACTACAAGCTGATTCCCGAGACGGACAAGTTGATGTTGAAGGATAAAGAAGTCATATCAGATCCCCAAAAGCAATACGAGATTTCAAGGGATATACATGTTCAGAGTCACGGGGGAATCAACAAAACAACTGCCACCATTGCGGAAAAGTATCACTGGGTTCGAATCAAGGAGACGGTTAGCATGGTCATTCGAAACTGCGCACAATGCAAAGAAATTGGCAAACCAACAAACTCTCATGCAAATGATGCCAGTTTCCCTGTGATCAGTCCGCCTACTGTTACTCCGAGTGCCACTCCCATACCTAGTCAAAGTGTCAGTGCAGCAAGTCGTGCCATGTTGCTTGCTCAAGAACACCAAGACCGTCATCAACATTCGCACCAACCATCGTCGGAAGACGGCTACCCAGCAGAGACAGGTCAGGGTTCCGTCTCTCCTCAAGTGCTCAATCGTAGGTTACCAGGAAACCCACAAGCTCCAACATCTCACGCTCACCAACTTCATACCAATACCCACCCACCTTTACAGCTATCTCATGAACAACCTTCAGCTCCAATCGCACGCATGGGTATTAGAGGACCCGATTACATACCTCTAGACCCACAGATAATGGAGGATGTCCGTCATCATCTAGGTAGTTTTAACGATGATAGCCACCATCATCAACACAGCGATATCTCCCCGGACTCAGCATGGAAAGACCAAGATTCCTTCCATGCCATGATCTCGGGCTCCAACGTCCCGAGTGACCACAAAGACTCGAGGATGACAGGGGATGGAGTCCATCATGGAAGCAACGATGGAAATGACGGCATGAGTGACGACTTAGATATGCTCATTGATCACGAAGATGGAGATGTTGACGCAGATGCTGATGCGGATACTGATGGCAATAGTGGAGAATTTGAGGATCGAGACCCAAATCCGAAGGATGAGGATGAAGAGACAGATGATGATAGGGATTCCAGGGAGGAGATTGTTATGCAGATTCAAGCGGAAGCTGCTCAAAGAGCAACAGAGGATGCGTTCAGGGGTGTTGGACTCAGTAGAGAGTTTTCAGGTGCTGGCTGAGACATAATGATGGGCCATACGGAATCCAAACAACGTGTCATCTTGGGGTTGTGATTTTGGGAACCTCTTGCACAGAAAAGAAGGCCATTTCTAGGCCGTGTTCGTTTGTGATATGCTGTTTGTTCCCCAAATCCTTACATTTCCAAGTGCCACAAGACAAAAGCTAATTTATTAGTAGGATTTCAGTCAATCACTTCCATACTCAATGGGCCTTCTGGGGATGATTTATCTATCTGGTGCCGCTCTCTCTTGGAAACATGTTTCGACATAACAGCATGGTCTAATTGCTCCCTGCGGACAAAAATCATAATCTTAATTTACTATTCCAACTTCTCATGAACAAGTGAGAGGATCTATTTCTGCTTCTTTATTCACGGAGCCCCAAGGGTTTACTGGTCGTGATAACGATACATTGGTTGCTCTACCGGTTTCTTATCCCGGGTTCACCATGCACTCTCACGGCACAATACTCCACCCCCACCCTTCCCCACACACTTTTGATTTTGATCATCGCGGGAAGGCTAGGGGAAGCTATCCTTTTGGTCCTGTTGCAAGTTGAAAGCCCTTTTCGCGGGGGCGGGGTGGTGGACGGCTACCGGTATGTGGACGGGTTCTGTGGACATGTTCCTTGATGACAGTATGGTCTTCAATTAAGAAGAGTTTGGTGGCTCTTTTCCTTCCAATGTTTTCTGCTACATTCATGTGAAACTCTTTTCCATCTCTAGTTTCATTTTTATCTCATGTTCGTGTTTTTATCGTCTTCATTTATACCCCACAATGCTTCTCGCTCCCTCCCTCATCTTGCCTTGGGCAGTCAACCTAGTGGCCGCAACAACACCAAGAATTGACACAGAACCTCCAATGCCCTCGGTAGTCCTAGATTATACCACTCTCATCGCAGCTGCAGGCAATTCGTCTCTTGGTTACTACAAATATCAAAACATTCGCTACGCACAACCCCCAATCTCCACTCTCCGCTGGATCAAACCACAATGGCCAATTCCAGAATTTTCTCCCAACACTGGCTCCCTCGCCGCCCCAGACGTAGCATGCAGTACCGAAGAAGACTGTCTTTTCATGGATATGTGGGCCCCTGCCGATGCGGTAGGTAGGAATTTACCGGTCATGGTCTTTACACACGGCGGACGCTTTGTCAAGGGAGCGAAGAGTGAGAACGGTCCCGAGGGATTGTTTGATTTGTCGAAGGATTTTATTTATGTGTCGTATAACTATAGACTTGGGATGACTGGTTTGGCAAGTGGGGTGACGCTTAATCATGAGGGGGCCTCCTCGAATGTTGCGCTTTGGGATGCGGAACATGCTTTTTGGTGGATTCGAAAGTACATATCGAATTTTGGGGGGAATCCGGAGGATGTCGCAGCGGTGGGGTTCTCGGCTGGAGCTTCGCAGTTGCTTTTCCAGATGACGAGGTTTGCGGGGAGAGGAGAGCAACTGTTCAATAGGGCGTGGATTATGTCTCCGGGATATCTTCCTGGTGCTGGGAATGAGCAAGCGGAGAGCTTTTGGCAGAATGTTTCGACTGCTGTTGGTTGTGGTGGAGGTGCTGTTGACTGCATGCAAACGGTCAATTTTGACACTCTGAATAGCGCGGCTACGGATATTTCCACTGCGTTTGGGTATGCTTTACAGCCTCGTGTTGATGGTGACTTTGTGACGGATACTTGTAAGCTCACTAAGACTTTCTTATTGAATTTAAATACAAGAGAAGATATGCCTGACATGTTGACCCAGATGAATCGCTTCTCTACCAAAACCGATTCAATTTCACCGGTCCCCTAATCATAACCCACGAACAACACGAAATCAACAGTGTCGCCTGGCCAAGTGTAAATGTAACAGCAGATATCGCCACCAATCTTAGAATCTTCTTTCCATCCATAAGTGACAGCGTCATAGCCGAAGTCTGTGGACTGTACCCGGAAGAGGATTACAGCAGTCCTGGCCTTCGATTTGCAGATATGAAACAAGCTTGGGAGTTGACGGCTCATAATCTTGCACTGACGCATGCTCTGAAGAATCAAACCTGGAATGGAATGATTGCACTTGGTCCTGCAGTTCATGGAACCGATCAAAAGTACTATTGTGAGTTTCATTCGGAAAATCAGTACTCTGAAATCTTGTAGGAGGGAAATTCTAATTCTCGAAATCTAGTCTATACTACATACACACTAACTAACACGACTATTGTCGGTGGTGGTGGACCTGGAGGAGATAAATCCATCGATCCAGCAATCGCCATCAAGATGCAGAAATATCTTATTTCCTTGTGTTGACAGGGGATCCTAATGAGATGTGTCGGGATGATAATATTGAGTGGCCATTGTACGATTGTTCGGCTAAGGGGACGGAACTTTTGTTCAACACCACGTTTTCTACGCAGTACGATTCGTTGGCGAATGAGAAAAGTTTATTTTGGAATAAGGCTCTCTGGTATTAGAACGTCTCTAAATATTATAATACTATTTACACAGCCTGTCAAGGAGAATCTATATCAGAATATTCTCCATTAGACACTCAACCAGCTGGAGGTCCATTCGTAGCAACCTCCATCAGCATCGCCACCCATGCATTCATCTCATCCCTCAAAGCCTTCCCAATATCATGCTCGGGAAAGGTACCCTCAGGCGTCCTCGCAAGCTCCTCAAAGATTTCCATCCCCTTTCCGCCCTCACGCACCCTCGGTTCCCAACTGTTGGCAATATTCCTACCTAGAACCGCAATCAAGATTTTCGCGCACGCCTCCTCGAAAATCTCACGCGTCTCGATGTTGGTGTTTAGTATCGAATTAACCAGGTTCTCCATCTCCTGGAGGTCAGACTGGGAGGGAACAGATGAGGCGTTCGTAAGAGCCTGTCTGCATCTCCGTAAACGGAGGAGTTGGAGCTCTTCGGTATTTGTTGTGGCATTGGGTGGATTAGGGTTCGCTAGTCGAAGCCGTGATTTCTCGAGTCTGATTAAAGCCCTTTCGGTTTGCGCCAATAGTTGGGGCTGGGGGGTCGACATCTTTTGGAGTTCTATTCGCATTTGGATGACGAAAGTTTGGGTTCCTCTGTTCCATCTCAGGAGACTTTCTCTGCGTTCTGTGTGTAGACTTTCGCGCTCGTCTTCCATGTGGAAGGTGTAGGTTATCATGTACCCGTGGTTTTGAAGTGCCTTGGAGAGGAAGCGATTGAGTATCTTCTCCAGTGCTTCGCCTGTTGCGGAAGGCTTTTTGTCGTCGATGTCGTCGATGTCGTCGATGGTATCGATGATTTCTTTCATAGCGGTGAACTTTTCATAATTGTTGGACCAGAAATTCTCCTCTCGGTTCGAACTTCGGAGGAAGTCATATCCAAAGTCCATTATCCCTCTTTCTCCAGGCGTGAGCCACGCAGCCTGTTTCATCTCCTCAACCGACAACCTGAAATTTTGCTCAAAGTTCTTTGCTGATGCGGGTCTGGGCTCTTTGTCCCGTCCGCTTTGGATTTCATCTTCGATTTTGCCTTGGATGAAATTATAAGTTGTTTTCGTTCCCGCTTTGAAGACGCGGATGAAGATTAATCCCAGACCGTAGTTTCGTACTCCAGTGGTCCAGAATCTGGTTGTTTGCAGGTTTTCCATCGGGGAGATTGGGATGGGATAGCGGATGTCGAAGAAGATGGGAGGTGGCTGCTTTAGAATGGGGGTGTTCTGGTCGCGAACGGTGTTGTATTTTATTGAGGGATAGGTGGAGAGTAAGAATTGGCCGAGAACTAAGCCTTCTATCAGGGTCTGTTCGGTTGCTCCCATTACCTCTTCTACTCCTCCATTGAGCTTAAGATGTTAAAATGAAGTGTTTTCTCTTAGTCTTTTTCGTGGGTACTTACCTGCTTCTCGAAACTCCATCCCAGTTCAGCGAGAGATTCATCCAAATAATACGGCTCGAATCTGTCAAAATTTCTAAGGTCAGCATTATCTTTTCTGTAATTACCCAATACTGAAGGCTCTCAGCGGATATAAAGAAGGATAAAAGAGCTTCTGATGGCAAGAAAAGTGTTGGGTATCTTTCGCTCAAAGCTTCCAGGGGAATACAGAAACAACCCCAATAAAACCTACGTATTATCATCAAAGTTTATTATGCTGTCCTAACCACCCATATCAATTCCACGTCTCCACTCAATGGCGTGCATCATCTCGTGAACCAACTATTCAGAAGCAGTCAAATCGGATTCTATATCGATAGCCTCAGAACAAAGATCCAGGACGTAAATCTTACTGTAAGTGCAATTTTCCATTCAATAGTGTATCGTTCCGAATTACTCAAATTATCAACCAGCAACCGTTCAACTCCTTTACTATGCAACCATATAAACACCCTCCACGCTGCACTCGTATCATTATTTTTCATCGCTCGGAACATGTGTTTGTAATTCACAGTAGAATACCCAGCGCAACCATCCAGGCCTTTTATGGAATCATCCGGACCTTCGGGACTCTCATTTCTTATCATAAACCCGATTTGAAGCATTTTTTGATTCCGCAAATCTTCAAATATAGCATCTGTTGTTCTTGCAAGCGTTGCAGCCGGCGTAGGCGTATCCGGCGGCCGAAAAGAGAACCAATCTTCGTCTTTATAGCCATTTGGTAACTGCTTCTCATCGACGAGTTCACGTGGGCCATTCAGTAGTGCGTCAAACTGGCTATCATTAGCCAAAGCCACAAGTAAAGGATTTTATAACCACAATCTCATACCCAGGGCAAGAAATAAGCACTCGTCAAATACCACGTCGCAATCCTCAAAGCCGGCTTCAACACCTCCCAAGCCACATCATTATGAGCCGACAACAACCCCGGTCCATTCTTCAACGGATACATTTTCTCCCTCGTGAACTCCGGTCTCGCCAGGACAGCTTCCCAAACCGGGCGATTGAAGATGGGCATAATAGGCGTGTCGAGATCGCCGGGGATGGCGTCTCGAATACAGAGACAATCGAGATCAGCTAGTTCTCGGGTTGTCCAACCGTGAAGAGCATCCTGCTGGACGGCTTCGATCGTGTCGATTTGTGAGGCGGTGTAGGAGCGTTGCAGGCTGGGGAAGATGTATTCGGTGGGTGTGAGACCACTTTTGTTGAAGTTTGTTCCTTTGTAGACTTCGAGGGCGCCGTATTTCTTGCGGAATGGGGTATAGGCTTGTGTTTGGGCCCGTGTTGGGGGTTTTGACCGTCGTGGTCCCATCCTTTAGGTGAGTTTTCAGGGGATTGGTATATCATCGCAGCAAAAAACAAAAAAACATGTTGCAATGAAAAGTTTGCTATCTTCCTTGGTTAGGAACAAAGGAGCTGGAGCATCTGGAAGCGGAAAATAGACATAGAGTGCGTTTTTCTTTGTTTTCTGGGAATACAAGTATATTGATTTTTTAAGCGAGCAGCGTTTGAAAGAACTACTCAATGACTCGAGTACTACTCAGAGTTACTCGAGTTGAGTTGAGTTGAGTATGAGTGGTAGATTTGACTACTTGAGTAGTATTGAGCTACTCGAGTAGTATACTACAAATAGTAACTAAATTATAAAATCGGTAATTGACTGAGATGCCCTTATATATATTATAAATACCTGAGATACCCCTAAAATAATTCGCTTGTGACTAAGGTACCCCCTAAATCGTGCCCCCTAAATTCAGGGGCATCTCAGTCGTAAAACAGGGGCATTTCGGTCAATTTAGTAGTGAATTTTAAAAGAATATCGTAGTATTTTAGGTGAGTTAGGCTCAAGATTTATGTTCACCTAGGAGTTTGTGTGAGAGGCCAGACCTCGAATAGCTCAAAGGTGTGGTTTCGAATATTCAATTAAGAAGTGCGTGAAGACTACATACATGCAATCTCTTCCTCTATATATAGAGAGAGGAAGAGTTTCTGGAGTCTTCCAAGAAACTGTTTGACAATAACGTGACGTCAAAAGAATAGAGTAGAAAAGTGTAGAAAAGGAGAAACCAATTTAGCAGTGGAGCAATGGCCAATGCTGAGAAGACTACATACATGCAATCTCTTCCTCTATATATAGAGAGAGGAAGAGTTTCTGGAGTCTTCCAAGAAACTGTTTGACAATAACGTGACGTCAAAAGAATAGAGTAGAAAAGTGTAGAAAAGGAGAAACCAATTTAGCAGTGGAGCAATGGCCAATGCTGAGCGGGGACTTTGGTCAGTGCTTAGCGAGGGCATGGCCCGAGCCTCCATCATGGGTTCCAACCCTCACACTCACATTCCGTCGGAGGGAATTATAAACGAGTAAAGTGTGGTTGGTATGTGTCATTCAAAATAAATATGTACTTGAAGTATAAACATTAGAAAACAATCGTATCACCATACTGTGGAACTGATCAATCCGCTTTTTAATCCCTTCCTTGACTTGCAAGATCTGTGTTCCCACATGATGAGATTTTACATATAAGAGGCCTCAACCAAGAAACCAACGGTGAACTTGGCATGACGAAGGACGGTATCAAAGCTGACAGTGTCATATGTCTATTTCAAATATTAGCTATTTTCATCCAGGGGTGGAGGATGCTGGGAGGGACTACTTACATCCCTAGGACTGTGGATGTAGGGGGAAGAAGTATCAATAGGCTCGTCGCAAACATAAGCAGCAGCTAATTCAGAGTCAGCAAACCCAACCTTCAAGCCAAAGTCTTGATTCCGGAATAATTCAAACTTACGGAAACCGTTGGAGTAAGCAGAAGCGTGATCAGAGCATCCATAACCACAGGTGTCAGTGGTGTAAGTCAACCCAGTGTACTGGGTGACAATTCTTCGCACATAAGAAACCAAACCGCTGTCACTGTAGTCGTTGTAGACAGAAACCTTTCCACTTGGACTGTAGCCAGCCATATCTTGGGCAACCATTGCAAGAACGGTTTTCCCGGCAGATGCGTAGTTTGCGAAGACGGCTGAGGAGCCGAGTAATCCACCCTCTTCACCTGCGTAGAAGTGGAATTCGAGAGTGTTCTTTGGTGCGAACTTGGCAGCGGCAATGACACGGAGTGCTTCCATCAAAACTACAACTCCTGAGCCGTTGTCATCTGCGCCTGGGCCCCTGGCTGTGGAGCTCCCTCCGGTGGAATCGTAGTGAGCTCCCACAATCACTAGGTTGCTGCTAGTTCCTGGGACCTTGACAATGATACTGGGCTGCGAGAATGAGTGGGCGAAAGTTGTAACAGTGATTGCGGAGTTAGTTCCAGCAATGGTTCTAAGCTGACCGAGGAGCCATGTCCCGGCCTGGGTACCGTAAGAAGAACGATAGTACCGATTGTAAAAGCTCCATCACATTAATTTCTACTTTGGAAAAGCCACCGGAATTTTGTTGGAATAGACTTACTCGGATAGTGTTTTCAACCAACTCTTGGGACCGGTAGTGTTGAGAGAGTTGATTAATGTGTTGGCTTGGGTTTGGTGTGTGAGCGAGCTCGGGTATGAGACTGCAACAGCTTGGACGAGAGAGACATCCTCAACGGTGGAAAGCTTTGCGAGTGTGGTCGCATTCTGGTCTTCGATTAGTATCCGTAAAATGTGCCTAGAATCATGCGGATTTACATACAGTGATATCCGTGATATCAATGAAGCCGATGTTCTTGGCTACATATTCCTCGATCTTCTGATCTTCAGTGACCCAAGTTCCCGGGTCAGCTTCAGATGTCTTGATGAGACGTAAATCAGGGTTGATTTGAGTTGGCCGATCAGTAGGTGGTACAGCCACGACCAATGAAGATGAGGCAACCAGGACTGAGAGAACTGAGGAGAAATGCATGATGAAAGAATTGAAAAGATCTAGAGAGTATAAAATTCCTTATGGACTCTCCAGACTGTTCGATGCCCTTCTTCTTATTCAAGTAGGAATGAAGGCTCCTAGAACTTCTGTAAGAAAGCCGGCTGCATCTTGCAATCGGAGGTCTCCAACGAGTGATGAGCTAGTACTCTCTCCTTCCTCAAAGCGAACTCATCCCGTATAGGTGGTGCCATAAGTCTCATTGTGAGCTTCTTGATCGGGAAGCAGATGGGTTTTCCAATTCCAATGACTTGCAGTGCACTTGTAGCCGACCATAATCCTTTTTCAGGGGAGCAGACCAAGCTTTCTGGTCCTGCCAAAAATGCCCAGAGGCATTCACGATTAGCGAATCATGCAGGGTTAAAAGTGCCAAGTACTGTATGCCAAGCGAGCCAAGTGACATCTTAGCTTTATCTTATCATTGCTTAATTGGGAAAAATTGGAGCCAGCCATGTTCCCTGCTGTATTTGAGAGATAAGGAATTGTGAAAACTGGTTGACCAATCTTCTTTTGTAACCTTAATAAATACTTGCGGGCCGTACCTAAAGTGTGGAAATACACATTAATCTAAGCTTCAAAACAAAACCAAACGATCTCCACCAATCCACGATTCAGTCGTTGCTATGTTTGTTTCCCTAAACCAGTATGGAGTAGCACATCAGCCACAGAGACAGAAGTCCGCGGATACTTGCAATATCTACCTGCAGTCTTTCTGCAGATACCGGATTGTGGTTGATATAATCTTTGGTGTACTTCGCAAAGCATGACGTTAGGACATTTTATTTTCATACTCTGAATCAGAGCCAGCGGCTATTGAAAGACCCGTGAGGGATATTCGAAAGCATGGTAGAAAGACACAAGATGAATGTTGCCGAGTTTTTGACATGGTAGGCGTTATGTAGTAGTCGTCTTTATTGCAGGAGACTAGAACGCTAAACCCAGAAGCAAACTCGTCTCAAATAATTCCCAAAATATAGTATGCGGAGTTTTTGTAGAGAGATTCCATTTTATTATTGCTTCTTTTCTTCTGCTTTCTTCTGCTATGTTGCTTATTGTTAACTTACCACAGAAGCGTATAAGAGATCACGTGACATAAAGAGTCACGTTTTATATGGACACCTTTGTCACCTGCACCTAGGCATAAGGAATGCACCTTCCCGTCAGAAATCCTACAACCAATACAGTATCATCCAACACAACTTTAGCCTCAATGCAAATCTTGCTTGAACAAATGCCACAGAAGCCAGTCTTGAGAATCATATCTTCAAAAGCAGCCAAAAAGCTCGCCTCTAGGATCAGTTAGCATACACTCATGACATTCCAGGCCAGTGTATGGTATCTCCCCTCCTTTCCTCTCCTGGCCACCAGGAGAGGAGCAGGAGATCCATATCTTTGGCTAGGAGAAGGAGAGGAGAGTAGGTCACTTGTCTGGAGAGGAGTGGATAAGGAGAGATGGGATTCGGGAGAGGAGTAGGAAGGAGAGGTGAGAGGCTAAAAATAAGGCTATTCGTAGGTCGCCGCCAGGTTCGTCAAAAGTACGACAAGTTCATCAAAGTACGCTAGGTTCGTTAAACTACGCCAGTTCGTCGGAGTACGCCAGGGCAGGTTCGTCAAAGTACGCTAGGTTCGTCAAAGTACCGAGTACGTTCGTAAAGGAAGCTCGGATTATCCCGAGAAATGCTAAACCCCTGGCCCTGGCCCTGGCCCCTAGGTGTAGATCAAGGACGTGCATTTCTACCTAATTTCCACCTGTTTTACCGACGTACGTCCGTACTACTACTATCTACCTACGTAGACCTGCTAAAACATACCAAGCCTTAGGAGTACTCCTAGCCTTTCCTCAAGGAGAAGGAATTCTGATTTTTCACATTGGAGTAGGAAAGGAGGACTCACTAGTCTGTACGGATAGGAACGAAGATTCCGGTGGAGTGACGGGGAGGACTTCGGAGGGGAGTTACCATACACTGTTCCAGGCGATGACATGACGGTTGCCAAACTTCCAAAGTCATGGTTCCCATGTCCGATTATGGCCACGATCCTACTCGTATGAACAACCCGATATATCCTGCAGCTTGTATGACAGCTAACACCGTGGTTTCTCAGAGACTGCGGGCTTCCAAGAATGCCGGGTTTGAGGTTCATTTTCAAAAGAGAACGGCAAGACACCAGAATTTGATCAGATGATGCTGGACGGGATTACAACATAAACGCTTTCTGTATGGGATCCATCTTGTCGTCAATGCGGTGTAAGACAAGCCTCTGTTGACTCGTTGAGGTGTGTGAAGAAGATGCGACCTAAATGGGGAGAGGCTTAACACCAACATCAGACGTTCCTCTACGCCACCAAGCATCCTTGAGAAAGTTCAGAAGAACCAAAGATTGAGCTTGCAATTCTTCTAACCTTTCTCTATGAATTAGTTGAATGATGTCATATAAGAATGAACGATGGTCTTACGCGTTTGATGTGACGCAAATATTTTCGATGTCATACCTATCCGTTCATGAGCTTCGGTAATTCTCCAATGCCCGCACTCGGATCAAGAAACCGTAATGGCTTTCATATCATTATCATATCTGGAAGATATGAGCATGCTGCTATTTCTTACTCATGCGATCTTACAGGGAGCCAGCAAATTGACCATCGAAACCTACAGATATTGGGTACCACACCCGAATACCAAAATTCTCTTTCATGTTCATCTCCAGACTTCTCTTTGGAGCCATACAACCTCGCCCTCCTTCCCGATAGTCATGAGAACAGTGCGCGTCAACTCATTGACTATCCGATCATCCCCAAACCTCCCGCTGTCTAGTTTTTCGTAGCCCTAAATCCAAGCACAAAGTGTGCAGCAGCTATATGTCATGGAGTTGCTGTCCTCTCGCAAACTAATCGCCCAGATGGGAGGAGCGTCATCCATGAATGTGTGGCCGCCGCACCGCCGACAAAATGTGAACAACTCATATTTAGGGAACGCGCGCTTTTCTTGGAGATTACCACAAGACCTATGGCGCAGGAACCGATAATGATGAAGAGGCGGTAAGTCTACCGAGTAAATACCATTTACGAGTCAACCACTGACTTGGGAATGCGACTCGGCAACCCCAAAATACAGTTCATAGCGAATCTTGGCATGAACCCGTAAGTCTGTCTTATTTCATCTCTGGCATAACATAAGTTGGGTTCATGGGGAGTTTCACCCTGTACTCCACTGAGCACCCCCGTGAATTCAACTTTTGAGATGCCTAGGACGAGTATGGCATGATCGATGCAAAGAAAAACTGCTGATTCTTGACCAGGAGATTCGTGATGAAAGGCACAATTACCTAAGTGAGAGGCAACCAGTACAGACAACATTACTGGCGCAAAAGGCAATTACTTTGCTAAGAAGCACTTTAGTATGACGTGAGTTGAGGTTAAGCTCTATGGCCTGGTGTTCCCTATTCGCTCCCATTCACGAGCACTATTCGGTCACTGTATCGCGAACCGGCCAATCCAAACAGGGACAACTAAACGAACGATGAGAAACTGAAGGCTTCATCTCATGACAGTTCTGATTGTGAGCCTTTTGGCATATCCTGGCAAGTTTGAAGATCACTCAAGGTGTTGACGCGTCGTAGGGGAAAAGGGTCTTTCGCTAAGGCCTTAACCTTAAGCGATACTGCACAATGATTAATTATTACAGTACCTCTCCGCGTTGCACTTGTCGGCAGTCGCAAATGACAGTCTTTTTTCGGGCGTTTTGATTTATACGAAGTAATACCGGTACTACAGTATGTCTATTACATGTACGTTACTGGTAGTCGGCGGTAAACCGGCCCATGCCTGTCCGATTCGTACTCGCTCTCGCACTAACAGGGCTATCCAGAGTTGCTGCGTACCCAGATCCACATTACAGTACGACATGTCTCAGTTCCCCGTGGGGTGTTCTTCTGGAAGCTGGTGCCATCAGGTACTTGCTCGTAAAATCGAACACCCTATTTTCGGCGAGAAGGCGACAAACAACAGGTTCGTGGGAGTTCTTGCGCCAGGCAAACAGCAAAAGCCAATCTTGAGTTCGAACCAAGCCTTACAAATTTCTTGAACTTCCGTCGCTACCAGCGATTTACAAGGCGTTCGGTTCCGACGGTTCGGGCCTTATTACTTGCGTCGTTACTTACTAAGCACGTTTTGTTTACGATGCTTCAAATGTCTGTCCCAGGACCGATATCCTGTGCGTATGTCGGTAATGTTAATCCATAGGCACTTACCCCTCGCGCCCTTACGAACACTGCACTTCGCCCCCTCTCTCTAGCGAAGAGACTGGTGTTGACAATACAAGCCCAACAAAAAACCGCGCGTCATTCAATTGACTGGTACAGAGTAGTTATTTTTTACGGAGTACCCGTACCTCCGTACTGCGCTGTTTGTTGCACCACGTCATAGAAAGACTCGCAAGGGAACCCGCCCGTGTCCCACTCGGCCTCGGAGAGCTAAGCCTCGTGGTAAACGAGCCGCATGAGATTTTACCAGGTTATACTTAGTATGCAGAAACCTCTCGATTTCCAAGACTCATAGCGTTCATCATATCTCATGAGTTCGATGATTCCCCGGTTTACGGACTGTTTGCTCATCTTGATGGTTCTTTTACAGGGTTGTGGAAAGATCATATTAATATAAAGTGAAGATGCCTTCCCTTGGTTAGAGCCCTCTCCATCCAAAGGATTTCAGGTCTTTGCATACACACTCTTTTCATCTCACCTTCTTCCATTCATTATATCATGGTTTCTACTCGTCGAAGCACGCTTGTAGCCGTGGGTAGCTTGATTGCTTCCGTCGTCGCCTATCTTCAAACTGAAATGTCGTCACATATCAAGCCAATTCAACTACCGCCGATACTTGCACTGCATTCAAGGCTTCCTTCCCTGGAATGACGATATTACCCTCTGAGAACGACGATTATCGTGACCTCAATGAATGTAGGTTAATTCTAACCCTATGTGTCAAACTTACCAGAAGCTAATATAACACAAAGTCAGTTGGACTCGTGAAGGATGGCTTGGGTCAGCTTGTATTCTGACCCCATCTGGTGCCGAAGAACTGTCTTCAGCCGTCAAGACTCTTGTTGAACGCAAAACTCCACTTGAGATTCGAGGTGGAGGACACATGCCAATCGGAGATGCAGCAAACATCAATTCTACCGGTGTTCTGATAGCCAGCTCAAAAATGCGCCTCAAAGAACTTTCCGAAGATCTACAGACTCTCACAGTTGGAGTGGGAAGCTCATAGGGTGAAGTATACGAGTACCTAGATACGACCAAGACCGGGAAAATGGTAGTAGGCGGTCGTTACGCCCCGGTAGGAATTCCCGGTTATATTTTCGGTGGTGGTATATCTTTCTACTCTTACGAGCATGGCATGTCAGCTGCGAACGGAAATGTCAGATCCTATGAGGTATGGGTTGCCCATCACAACTACCTCAATACATCTAACATCGCTACAGTGCGTTCTCGCTGACGGCAGCATCGCCAAAGCCACTGCTGACAACGAGTTCTCCGATTTGTTCTGGGCTCTTCAAGGAGGCGGAAACTCATTCTGTCTCCTGACCAAACTCGAACTTCGAACAATTGATTCTCCAGTCATCTCTATGGCCGGTCCGAGATGGGGTGGGTCCGCAGTCAAGGAGCAATTCCTACAGAGCACACTGAACTATGTTCTCACCGGCGACTGCGACCTCAAGTCAGCCTTCATCCCCTTGTTCGATGGGGGCAGAACTATACCGAGCCAAGCTACGAGAGCAAATTGTGGTACAATGGTAACGTCAGGAAGCCAGAAGTTTTCAAAGACTACCAAGGTAGTATCCTCCCAGAGAACAACTCCACCGTTCTCAGACAAATGACCATGGGTCAGTTTGCAGCTTCTCTCAAGCCTTCCTACGTCAGGGTTGGAGAGTCGTCAGGCAAAATACAACTCTTTCACGTCGTCTCCCATACCGCAACCATTACTTCCATGAGAGTCGTTCACGACACTTTCCTGGACGGCATACAAAAGCATAACCTCAAAAAAGTTGACCAATTTTTCTCAAGTATCGCTTACAACACAATCACCCCAGCGTTTGCAAAGTTGTCACAGGGTATGCCACAGGGCATCCCCCAGGAGGCAGCGTTCTGGAGTGAACAGGCTGTCAGCTGGGTTAAACCTGAAGGCAGCCCCAAAGTCAGAGCATTCATTGATGATGTCAATGCAAACATCACCGCCCAATTAGAAAAGTCCGGGGAGTTGAGACCTTATCTGTATCTCAATGATGCGGAACTATCGCAGCCTGTTTTCCAGGGCTACCCTCTCGAGAATTTGGCTCGCTTGAAGGAGATCCGTGCTAAGTATGACCCCAACCGGGTTTACACCGATCAAATGCCTGGTGGATTCAAGGTCGAACACGCATAAGTTTTGGGCTTTTGTTTCTTGCTTTTGGACTGTAAATACCATTGCATGACGTTATAAAGATACACATGGATGTTGTACAGCTGTGGTTGATTTATTTTGAAGTTCCAAGATACAGGCTCTGGACACTTGTATATAGTATTGTTTCCGAAAGCCATTGACATGTTAATATACTTTATACTCTTAAACAGCGTGAGAACAAATTGCTCAATCAATCAATTAGTAATCAACTCAAAAATAATTAACTTGATTTGAATTAAATTGGCGACCTCGGTTGATGAAACAAATCAAGAAGAGTTTAGTCAATCTAATTAATTAGAATAATAGTGTATATTTCAAATTACTACTAATATAAGAAATAACTTAAGATTTAACTAATAATTTAACTACTATTGTACCAAGTATCTGGAAGGACGTCTGTAAACTACTTATTTCTACTACAGATACACCCCTTAATTCCAGAATCCATCTACCTACTATACATCGAGAACCCTTTAAAAGAATAATAAAGAGAGAAAACAAAAGTAAAGATATATTAGATAATTTAATAACTAAGGACAATAAACGTTCCTATAGTAAAGGACTTTATTATTATCCCCTCAACACTTAATATATACATTTCAATTTTTAGGTTTAGAGTTTCCTAAACAAGCGATGATCTCCGCAAACAAGCATTTATTTAAGCATACTTCGTCCCAGGCGAAATAAATGTAGGTTTGCTAGGGTGGCTACGGTTGGCAACAGGGTATAAACCCCTGAAAAACCTACAAGTATTTCGCCTGGGACGAAGTAATAGTATCAAAAAGTCAAATTAAGGCTATTCCGAGTAACGTCTAAAAATCAGAGAGAGTACTAACTAATCTAAGTCCCCGCTATCGCTCGAGTCTATTACTTTATTAACATTATTAGACGATAAGTTTTTTGAATAACGTGGTTTATCAGCGAGTCGATCATATCAGCGAGTCGATCACTTTTCCTTGGCACTACCTCCTCAAACTTCAACACACGTTTTCTTCAACTATTTACCATGGAAATTCAAACTCAAGAAGCGCGAATTACTCTAGCTATCGAGGCTATTCGGTCGTCCAAAAAACTAAGCAAACGCTCTGCGGCAAAGATCTACAATGTACCATATACGACTCTTTCCGACAGAATGGCTGGCCGAACCTACCGCCCAGATTCTCAAGCCAATTGTCATAAGTTGACTGAGTTAGAAGAGGAAGTGATTATTCGGTATATACTGGATATGGATTCCAGAGGATTTGCGCCCCGGCTCGCTGGTGTAGAAGATATGGCTAATTTTATCCTGGAATCGCGGGGGGGAAGACGCGTCGGCAAGCTCTGGGCCCATCGATTCGTACAACGACAACCAGACCTTAAGACGCGTTTTAATCGCGTTTACGACTTCCAGAGGGCCTTATGCGAAGATCCTGACGTGCTAGGCGCATGGTTCCGGCTAGTAGAGAATATGAGGGCGAAATATGGGGTTACAGACTCCGACTTCTACAACTTCGACGAGACAGGCTTTATGATGGGTGTTATTTGTCCTAGAATGGTTGTTACTCGTGCAGACCGACGTGGTAGAGGCAAGGCAGTTCAGCCAGGCAATCGGGAATGGGCTACAGCAATTGCCTGTATTAATGGGGAGGGCTGGAGTATTCCTCCATTCTTGGTAGTTCAGGGCAAGAACCATCTCTCCAACTGGTATACCGACGGCGGCCTCCCACCTAACTGGGTTATGAAACCGACAAGCAATGGTTGGACAAATAATGAAACAGGCCTGGAATGGTTAAAGCACTTTGATAAACACACTACAGCTCGTGCAAAGGGTCTGTATCGAATACTAGTTTTGGATGGGCACGAGAGTCATGAATCGGCTGAGTTCCAAGACTACTGTACGAAACACAACATTATTACTCTTGGACTACCTCCTCATTCATCCCATCTAACCCAGCCACTTGATGTTGGGTGCTATAGTGTGTTAAAACGAGCGTATGGTCGGCAGATTGAGACGTTTATCAAGGCCCATATCAACCATATTACAAAGGTTGAGTTCTTTCTAGCCTTTACAGCAGCATACAAGGAAACAATGACAGTCCTAAACTGTCAGTCTGGATTCCGCGGAGCTGGCCTAGTACCATTTAACCCGCAAGCAGTGCTTTCAAAGCTTGACGTAAGGTTACGGACTCCAACTCCCCCTCGGACGTGTAGTGAGTGCCAACTCCCTCCCCTGGGTGTCCCAGACCCCTTCCAACCCAACTGAAGCCCTTTCACAATCAACTCTTGTACGAAATCGTATAGCCTGTCATCAAGGAAGCTCGCCAACTCCACTTTTTCAAACAGTTGCTGCGTTAGCAAAGGGTACAGAGCGAATGGCACATGAGATGACCCTTTTGTCTGCTGAGGTCCGTACCCTTCGCGCTGCAAATGAAGCCCTAAGTAAACGCCGTAGGGCTAAAAAGACTCGTGTCCGCCAAGGAGGGGCACTTATAGTAGAGGATGTACAGGATATGTTAGCTCAGGAGGATGTAGATGAGCAAGTACGACGCGACATGCGTGAGGCGGGGGTTGGTTATAAGGAGGGGCAACCTTCTAGGCGGCGCTGTAGAACTTGTGGAAAAGCTGGTCATAACGCGCGAACTTGTCAAGAAGTTATAGATATATCTAGTTCGTCAGATATAGAGAGCGATAATTAATTTAATATATTGTGGTTGATTTATTTAGGTGTAAAGTTCTGTGCCAAGAAAAAGTGATCGACTCGGTGATATGATCGACTCGCTGATAAACCACGTTAATCTATTCTAATTAGTTTCTCACGCTACACTCAAATCTTCTTAGATGAATAATGAAGCATTTCACAGCTTATTTTCTTTCGCCTCCATGGCTCGCTTACAGCGTTAGAAACGAGTTTAGTTGAGCAGTAGCACCTACTCAACACAACTCAAGTAGATTTTAGACTTACTCAACTCAACTCTCCAAGTACGTACAGTACTACTTGAGTAGTGCGGAGTAGGTTAGGCCAGGTATGGAGCGACCGGTTCGACCGCTCGGATTTAGCTGCCCTCGCCTAAATACTACCCTTCACATATATTTACAAATTCCGGTATCGACAATAATAGGCTTACAACCCCAGGAGCTTTGGGGAGACCAGGACAAGGAAATACCACTAAAAAGACGGCGCATTTGAGGAAAACTATTTTATAACGGTAATTGACTGAGATACCCTTATATATATTATAAATACCTAAGATACCCCTAAAATAATTCGCTTATGACTAAGATGCCCCTTAAATTGTACCCCTTAAATTCAGGGGTATCTCGGTCGTAAAACAAGGGTATATTAGTCAATTTAAGTTAGGTCAGAAATCAGGATTCTCGCTATTCATTAGATTAATATGGTAATACAGGCCAAGAGTAATGAACAAAGTAAATTGGCAATCTAGTACCACTAACATACGACTTCGTAAACCAGTCCTCGTCGATTTTGGTGGTACTATAGCTGACTCTAATCCTTTCTTCCGCTTTTTATTCATAATTCTACTAAATTAGCCTTAATTGCAACAATTGCTTGTTCCTGAGCGATATCCTCGTCCTGAGCCATATCCTCGTCCTGAGTAGTATAGTCTGAGTAGTAGCCCTAGCCCTAGCCCTAACCCTAGCCAGGTATAGTACTTACACGTGTGAGTAATGCGGGGTCAAACTGTGAGGGTTGGAACCCATGATGGAGGCTCGGGCCATGCCCTCGCTAAGCACTGACCAAAGTCCCCGCTCAGCATTGGCCATTGCTCCACTGCTAAATTGGTTTCTCCTTTTCTACACTTTTCTACTCTATTCTTTTGACGTCACGTTATTGTCAAACAGTTTCTTGGAAGACTCCAGAAACTCTTCCTCTCTCTATATATAGAGGAAGAGATTGCATGTATGTAGTCTTCA